GGCTGTATGTACATATCAAGCTAACCGGCTAAAAATAAATTTCGGTATCAATACCAATGATATTAGTTCCGCGGAAAATCGATTTACACCTACACACATTGGGATAACGTTGTCATGCACCTATATGTGTACAGACAGACCTCACGTGTGTGGGTATAAACCAGAGATTTGTGTAGATATCGTGTATATGAAATATGTATATATAGGAGATGAGCGGAGGCGCGCAAGAGACAAGCATATGCGTGTGTATGTTTGGAGCGCGGAGAGCACGCGGCTCGTGGTTAAAACATATGGCGCTGCCGAAGTGGTGGAAAATCGGCACGGCGATCGGCAAATATTGGCCAACCCCCCGAATTTACGGATCACAGGACACCTTACCTCGACTCGAGCTTTGTTCCTCACGGAGCAGCTGGTTTGGCCTATTTGCGGGTATATTAATGTTTTCCTTTCCTCTTCCCGTACGTTTGTACTTATATTGAGGCACTGACACTCGCCACGGGGCCCTTTAACGATCCGGCTTGCCTTGTTTATTTTTTACAGGTAAGTACACACGTTACCGGTACAGACCCAACGTATGGAGCACCGCACAGCACTTTGGTTATCCTTTTATCCCTAACTTACGAATTTCTTCTTCTTCTTTTAACCGGCAATACACACCTCCGAATGTTCGATCGCGATTATTGTGACAACAGTACGTACAATTTGGGCGCTTCGCTCGGCCAGTGGGCACACAATAAATGTTTTACCACATTTATCTAGTTCAACGCCCGAGAGCCCGAGGGGGTGGAATTGTGTGATAAAAACAGCGGTCGGGTGGACGAGGGAGGGGTGAAAAAAAAAAAAAAAAAATGTGTACCACAGGGCCAAGGGGCAACCGATCGATGAGCAACAAGCGGCGAACAACGATGGAATAGCGGCACACTCGCGCACACACTGCGCGCTACTGACTCTCCCCGATGCTTCCCAAGACACGATGCGCGCCTCACGCTCTCTCTCTCTCTCTGTCTTCTTTTCCTCGGGGGGACGCCGGTTCGTGTATATGTATATACACTCGTGTGCGTATACACCCAGGGCGTGTCCTTTCGAATTTTTCGCGGCCACACTTGGGTATATTATATACCCAGCCAGCTGTAAGCACGGGTGTATATGTGGACCCGCAGTGAGTCGCCGATAACGGACTGCAGTCTCTCTGTTTTGCTCCGAAACGAGAGCAGAGGAGGATATAGGAAAGAAAAAGAAAAAAAAAAAAACGGCTTATAAGTATACATAAAAGTTCGTTTGCCTGAGCGTGAGATTTAAAAATGGTTTAAATTATACTTGGGGCTGTCGAAACTCGAGTACATCTTATACGCATGTAATACATGTGACATGTGCACTGTGACCTGCAAGTAAATCTGTTGAGCTTTTATGTATATATATATATATGTAAAAGGAGGCGCATTTATGATGGTCAATCGTAAAATTTTATCTATATGGTATATACGTAGAGTTGAGGGTATAAGTAATAATAATTAATGTACTTAGTGTACTGTGAGTAGGTATACAAGTCCAATGAAAGCACAACGATGAGTCGAACTGCGGACGGTAGCTTATAACCACTATAAGTGCGGTAGCCCAAGCCGGTACGGCGCTATATATGTATATACATCTGCATCTGGGGGAGTTGAAGCCGGGAGGTGGGGGGGCACGAGAGAGAGGAACTGACTCTCCCGCCGCCGTGGAGCCGACCAACCAACGTTAACCACCTGTTACTACCGGACCGGGTTTGCGTCGCGTCTGCCGACAGCGCTCTGGGATTCCCCGGCGGCTGACTCGGGAACTTTTGTACTCTCCTCTTCTCGGCCCCCTGATTCACCCGGTCGGCTACGCGCGTGTACCTATACTATACTTACTTAATGGGCGTATAGAGAGAAGAGCATCGCATAGCGATCAACGCCCGCATCATGGTATATGTATATATACACATGCATATGAAATGAAGCGCACCGATTTTTGGGGAAGAAAACCGAAACACCGCCCTTTTTTTTCCATAAGGGATTTGGGTTGTACAGGAAGGCGCCCCCCCCCCCACTGACGCCGAGTGGGTATAACAGTCGCTGCGGAATGCGGGTTTCTTCTCTCGAGCGCCTATAACGTATAGCACCTATATACATAAGAAGAGGTTTTTCACACGCGTTTAGTATCGAGGGTGTTTCGATGATTCCGTACGAGCTAGGGGTTGCAGGGATCATTGAGCCCTTGGCGCTTTGGGCGTGGGTCGTTGAAAAGTATTGTATATAGATGCGCGTATCGCTATGAATATATATATATTTTTCCGAGCTTTTAGACGAAACGAACAGGAATGTACCGTTGTTATCTGAAATCGGATTCAAGACGCGCCACACTCTCACGCTTGGGTGTAGATAAATTGTATATGTACACCTCGATGATTATAGCTGCCAGCTTATTAACCAAACAAAGACATCATAACGACGCCCAATACCCAAAAGAGAAAAATTCATCTCTAATGTTGGTAAACTAAATTGGAATCCTTTTGGTAAAAGTAACGAGGACCAAAAGATATAGAGTTTTTCGAATAGTTTTCGAAATGCACATGTTCTCGGAAAGCAATCGAAGAAGAGATCTTGAGTTACGGACGATTTAACGGGGGGTTTGAGAAAACACGAAATTTTCCTGTAGTCTGGGTGTAACGTGTACATCGACGTTTTTCCAATCCAAGCTCATCTGACCCAACTCTATTGGTTCTACCGGGGATCAAATTAACTATACAACACTTGAGCGTCCCACAGTACGAGATGTGCAACCGAATAAGTAATCGACTCCAAAAGATGCGAGACGCAAAAAAAATGTTTCTCGGTTCACGCTTTGCCATGTACCTATTTACGATGGCGCTAATAACCCGGGGGAGGGGGGGCGTTAACGGAAAGCGCAGTCTGTCGCTGTACGCGCACATGGGGTCCGCTTACAATTCGTTTGTCAAAAGCCATACGTATATATATATATATATATATATATATATATATATATATATATATATATATATGTTGCAGAGCCGGGTGAGTAAGACGAGCGGGGAAAAAGATATACATGGAGATGCGCGTTTTATGCGGGCGTGTAGCGCAAAGAGTGCAAAGTAACGAAATGCATGCGGGCGAAAAAAAAGGCCCGGTTGTCGCGGGTGTGGGATGGCTTTGTGATTTAATTTTCACTTCCCTCGGCCATTTGGTCATTTTTCTCGAGATAACGAAAATAGGGCCGATGACGAAATTGACGGGAACGGGGGCGGGCTATAGGCGTCGCTGAGTGAAAGTTACAAACGGACTTTTCCAACGAGATTTCCGTTGGCATCGGCTCTAGCTTTGTTTCGGGCATTCGTGTTGAAATATTTCGATAACTTTTTCTTCCGATGACGTTATAGCTTTTGAACGCGGAGTTAACGACTTTGTAATTGCGATTTGGTTAACTGTACGAGGCATATCTCGGTGTAACTTGGATAAGGTTAATTAGCTACATCTTATCACTACCGATTTCATTTCTGTAGTTGGCCGTTGCACGCTTTGTTTATTTGTTTTTTTTTTCTTTTTCCTTTCTTCACAAAGAATTTTGGGAATTTAAAATTATTTCTATTAACGGCTGTTTTTTTTCTTTTTCTATTCTTTTCAAAGAACTTCGGGGATTAAAGTTTTTTTTCCAATAACGGCTGTTGATAAGAATCAAGCGTTTCGTTTAGTGAGCTTTGGAGGGAGTGAACAGCAGAACACGGGACAGCTGCTGATTGGCTGTCACTATGCATACGATTAATTAACACGGGATATTTCATCCGTTGTTTGTTGCTAAGTACACACGTATGGATTATATACAACCGGTGGATGGATATTCATTAATTGGCAGTAACAGTTCGTAAAATATGGATAAATATGATTTCATTCGATTAACTGTATTTAATTATGTTTTGAAGTAAACAATCAACTGATTGCTTAGTGCATACGGCCAACGCAATCGGTTGATGCAATGTAAGGTTTTGTTCAATATGATAAGATAAAGTCGATATTAATATTTTAATTTTTCGGAGGAGAGTCTAAAAAGTTTGAATATCGCGATTTTTATCGGATAAAAATTTAACGTAAAATTTATCGACTGACGTGATTTTCGTGTTTTTAATGAAATAAATAAAATTGGTTTTCACATGATTCTTTATTGTCGTATAATGACTAAAATGACGTTGGATAATAGTTGGATAACTAGTAGGCATGTATAATTCAATTTTGAATCGATGTGTAGGAATAGTGAAAAATACGTGTTAAAAATAAAAGTACAATAGTAAAATTTTTATACAAAGATTGCTTCTTTTGCTTTTTTGTGTATCAGCTGTTTGCGTTTTTTTTTTTTTTTTTTGGGATCGCATATTTCAGTTTGTATTTCGACAACTACTGTTACAATATACTACGCGTTTGAGGGTCATATTTATAATTATATTTACATATACAGAATGCTTGTAACTGTATGAATTTGAAGCGAAATTCTTAAACGTAAGAATTAATTAGTTGGCAAAACTAATGAAGCGGAGCAATACAGTTTACAAGTCGTGTTAAATCTTTATGCTTGTAAAGTTAAAAAGTATCATAAAAAAAAGAAAATTTACATGTATAAGACATTCTGTACACAGTTTATTATTTGAATTTTCAACTCTCCTCAACTCACATCACAGTCACTCTCATCACGATTTTTTTTTATTTATTCATTTTTTTGTTTTTTGTTTTTTACTTTCATTATGTAGGAGACAATTTTCTGTTCAACTGAATTAAAAGCAAAGAAACATCAAAATACCTCATGAAGTTTCTTTTTATGGTTCGTCAACATTGATTTTTTACAAAAATTATATCGAATTTTTGTTGTCTTGACAATTTGAGAGTATTGGCAATGATTAAAAAAAAGATCTGGGCTAAGAAAAAGACCAACATCTTTATTATAGCGAATAAAATAGCGTTCATTTGCTCAATTCAAAGCATACCAAAGCCCTTTGAATAATTAATTGCCTTTAATAATCGATCCTGCAATTTTTCTAATGTACTGTAGTCTGGCAACAGTAAGACATTAAAACACGTGTGGGCAATTGGTAATCTGTAATTATATTTAATAATCAGTAGAATATATTAACTTTGAAAGAGAATAATCAATTTTAAGACAATGCATTTTATCAATATTGCCTTAAAAATACAATTTAAGTTGAGCAAATACCTTACCTATCGGAATCTGGACCGTGTCTGGCTATCACCATTTTAAGGCGTGAAAGACCTCCTACAGGCACTCTATCACTACCTGTGGTAAATTGCAAGAGTTTCCTTTGACTTTCCGGTTGTAGCGAATGAGCAACTTGCCAGAAATTACGTATCGCGTCACTTTCCACTGTGTATCCACCTTCGTATTCTGTGGCTGCCTCCAACTCGGCAAAATCAAAAATTTTACTTCCACAGACCAATTGCTCAATTTCCTCGGGTCTGAACAACAAGGCAAGAGGACTTTCATCTGTCACCATTTGGAAGCCATTTTTAAATGCCTCAAATTGCCTTTCCACGGATTTAACTAGTAAAAAATCCGTATACAAATCTACAAATTCTTTTTTGTTTGTTTGCGTTACGTAAACTTCGTCACCCTTGTCGCTTAGTTCATGATATAGCAAATTACCAAATACATCTCTAATGAAAACAAAAAAAAACATTCATCAGATTATTTTTCTCAATCACGAAGTATGTCAAAAACATTTCAAAAACTCACTTATATCCAATTTTGAATGTTTGCATAAATACATCCGCCATGTCATCTTCTGCGTATTCTAGCATATCTAATAGAGTACGATAAAGTGTTGGATTCCAATCTTCCAAATCTGCAAATGTCCCTTTCCTACCAAGTAACTTTCGATAAACGACCATTGGAAAACGCACGTCAAGTATAACGTTATTGTAAATAGCTAATCCAAGAACTATGCCAATAAGAGTGAATTGTGCATCACTTTCAAATGATGTGGGATTAAACCAGGTCGTCTGTGTATCTTCCTGTGAGTTGTAAAACATTAACAAATCATGGATAAGCATATAACAAAGTTTGAGGATCTAAATCTCTTACCTGTGTCGTGAACATTCCATAATCTGGATTAAAAATTTCTTCCACTACTAATTGAAAAAATTCTTTAGAAACTCCTCCTTCATCGACACCTTGCTCACCTTCAAACTCCACAACTAGTTGTTTTTTAAAGTCACTAGGATTTTCCATTGCTACTACCTCCAGTTCAACAAGAGCATCCTCAATAAGGTGATCTCTCCTTACCTACAGCAACATCAAATTGTATATGTAACTTTTTTCAAAGTCACTTAATTGAAATCAGGAAGAAAAAGTTACTTTTAATCTCAGGTACGGATTAGAAGGCCTTCCAACTACTGCTTGGAAGAAACTCATCCTACGTTCACTGTACATTCGTATACGATTATCATAGTATAAACCTAAAGTTTTTGTAGCCGGTGTAAGAATGAATGCATAATTCATGAAACTAAATTTTTTGGGCTGTTCACTCTTATAATACGCAAAATCTTTGTCCATCTCAACTGCATCACTCAATGGTTCGTTGTAAAAGTCAACAAAAGGTATGAGAGGATTGCGAGAGTCCAAAAATGAAACACCTAATTCTTCAGCCAAGTCCTAGAGTTCGTTAATAAATCACAGTAAAATAAAGTCTATAAACCACCGTTTTATTACAATGAGTACGTACTGAGGAAGTTACTTCACTTGGCTTTGATTTTTCAGAATTATTTGCTTCATTGGTTCCTTCGGCGACTTCTGAAGGGTCAAGCTCGCCAGCTAAGATACTAGCATAGTATATTATTTGCATTACTTTTGTTGGTGCTGTGATTGTATCAGCATCTTGCACGCAGTAATCCCGAGTGAAGGCGCCACCAATGACCTGGAACAAAATTATTAGGTTCGTGAAATATTGATCAAACGCGAGAAAAAAAAAATTTTTTTTTTCCAACAGCTGTACCAACCTTAACAGTAATGAGTTGTTGCAAAGCTTGGAGTAAACTAGGTAATCGAGATTTGCAATGTCTTGCCCATATCCGAGCGAGCTTTGCTTGAGCCGAGATAGGCAGGCAGCTGGCTGCTTTACAGAGCATATGTAAAGCCATGTCTAAATATTCACTGCTTCCCAGCACAGGTATTTCAAAGACGATTAAAAACACACTTAACAGGCTGTCGGTACTTTCCGCTTCGTTCACACCAAATACTCGCAAATCTAATTCTATTTGATCGGCCAACGTGACTAGAGCATGAACCAATGCAGATTCAAATGCTTCTCCTGGGTAAACGTTTACAAATCGATGGGTTATTGATAAAGAATATTTTGAAAATTAATTTTCTCATAAATCAAGGTCTTACCTGGCAAAGACCATAGTGCTTCAAAAGCACGGCGAACAGCTGGTAAATCTACACTAGTGTCATCGGGCTGAGGAACTTTGGGTGCAGAGTCACAGCTGTCTTCTTCTTTGTCATCTCCCTGTAGGGATCTCACAGCTTCTTTGCTCATTTCCTTTGAAGAACACAGCAATGATGTAGGAGCCTTATCAAGTAGGGCTGCCAGTGCTGAATCATTTTTTTCTGACTTTTGAAAACTTTTGATTAAAGCTTGGGAGGAAGAAAAAACTTCTCCTAGTGTCCTTATAAGGAGACTGTAAGAACTTTCTGCTTTGCATTTTTCTATGATATCCACTAGTTTGGCTTCTGTAAGGTATGGCACAGATTTTCCTAAAACAAAAACAGTTTTCAAAACTTCATCTACATTGCCTTTGTAAATCTAAACAAGCTGATAAATATAATAATACAGCTCATACAGCAGTTTTTGTTGTAAAAATATTTATTTAAAAACAGTACAAAACGTAACAGAGAATTTAGTTTACTTTAATGAAAATTTTTTTATCACAGAAAATTTGAATTGCGAAAAAACTGTCTAAACTTTTGACTCATTGATGGAATTTTTAGCATCAACATATTTTAAGTACAGAGCCAGCAGAATTAATTTATGAATCAGTGAGCGCTGATCGTCAGAAGATTCAGAATTATTCTCCGACTTATTGGTTTTTCTTGATTTTCTCTGATCTTTCTTTTTGCGAATAGCAGACTTTGATTTCTTATTTTTGCTTTTGGTATCTAAAATTGGCATGAAAATTGATAATATGGATAAAAATTTACAAACTGATAGTATCAATGATGAATAAATAACGAACTTTTAGCGATAACAGGCTTGACATAATCAATAATAATATCTTTATCGTCAGTCTCGCTCGAATAATCCAGATTCCGAGCCTCTGGCAAAGTGCTACTTGTTATTTCTAGATGTAAATAACAATTTTCTATTTTTATCAGCTTCTCTTGTAGCTTTTCACAAAATTATTCAAATTACTCACCTTCCACAGAGCATGTTGGATTAATGTTTTTGTTCGGTAAGCTTTTGGCCAAAGAAGCAGGGCCCGACTCCAGTGTTGTTTTTGCAACCTTGCTGGGTTGGGTACCATCGCATAGTCTGGCGTCTTGTGAAAACAAATTGATCGCTTGAGCTGCAGCTTCGTTTGCAGTCAAATTTGCCAACTGTAAAAAAATCAACCAACACTCTTTTTAGTGCTGAAAATTATCATCTCTTGTAGAAGGTAATAAAAATATCTAATCAAGAGGAATGAAAATACTCGATTTGAGAAAATTATTACGTGATGTTAGTATGCAACGCCATAAAAAGATAATTTATTGAGGCAACGTCCATTGAATCTGACATAACGCGGACAACAGAATAATGAGAGAGCATAACTGCAGCAGAGTCAAGCAATTAAATTCTTAGTACTTACCTTGCCACTGGACGCGCAATACTGATTGTCGCAGCTCGGATTGCCACATCCATCTATCAGCTGGTAAAAGTACCGCTCGATCAATTTCTTGGTCGCTGCGCGCTTCATATCACTGCAAGGGCTCTCTGCTTCTACCCTGCAAGCACGCGTGATAACGAAATAATTATTATATATAAATCACTCATCAACATGACAATCTTTGTGTGTTTTGCAAATTCATCCGGGATTTTAATTATAGCTGCGCCGTTATTGTTCAGTGAAAAAGAAAAAGAGATGGAGAGGGACGAAATCATCCGATTTTTTGGCATTTCCCAGATGAGAGACAAAAATAACGCGCTTTGATGATACAGATACGTGACGTGTATAGGCGTGTGGGAGCGTGTAGTGTACGTACACATTCATGCAAAAGTATCGCGAAAGACAAAGAAAAGAGAGCTTATAACAAGCCGTAAGGTCGGAAATGGCCGAGTGTATTCACACAGGGGAAGGAAAAATTAATTTTGCGAACGTTGAAATTTTTATGTTTCGTATACTTTTATAAAAAATACTTAAACACAAACTGTCATCCCTCCGTTCGACAGTTGTTATTTTGTAATTGCAAGAATTCAATACTCACACTTGACGAATTAATGGGCCAACACAGTATTTTTCTTTTAACTTTATGGCAAAAATTGAAATATATTTGAATGCGACCGTAACGCGTGGGTGGACCTGCAGGTGTGCGTAAATTTAATATGTTGGGGGGGGGAAAAAAAAAAAAGCGACAGCCGCGCGGCGCTATAAAGATAATAAAGAGCCAAAATGTAAACATTGGAAACGACGACGCAGAAAACGAAACTCTGCAGCATCATCGTGAATCGCAATCGCTTGGCAGAGCCGTCGTCGTTGTTGTATCAATAAATTGCAGGAAGGAAAGACAAGAAAACGTTTGGCGTATGTTTCTTCAAATTTTGGGATTTGATAAATGTTATCACCACAGTCTCGAGAGATAAGTATTTACGTACGAAAAGGGTAAGAAAATACAAAGTCACGGCGTTACATAATTATTTGGAAAAAAAAAAAAAAATACCTAGTGCACGCCAAAAACTAAGCAGTAGAAATGGGTACATGTATAAAGAAGAATATAAGTACCTGGATGCGAGAGGGCCCTCTTGGCCCTTGGCACTCATGAAATGTTGGCCGTCGTGCAAATTGTAAACACCACGACTTTACTGTCGCAGATGCTGTAGCCTCCACGGAAAGGATTCCTCCAGGCTCCGAAGATTTCCTCGGACGGCTTTACAGGAATGTTCACCGTCAGTTCGTTTCCTTCAGTGCATTCGGGTAACCCGCACACACAGTCACACACACACACACGTCACCCACTAGGTGCTGTCACTTCTGATGTTCACTTCCTCCGCTTCCTCGTCGTTGGTTGAGACTGTGAGAGAGAGGTTGTGTGTATACACACACAATCACGGCGACCGAGGACCGACGACTCCGACGAGTCCGACGACGATGGGTGTCGTGCAGCGCTGAGAACGTATGAAAACTCCAAAATTTATATGATAGGAACTTCAAAATAAGTGATATAACATATGTATACACACGTACGTCGATTCGAAGAAGACGACTCTGTTGGTGGACCGCTGTTGCATGGACGCCGAAAAGTATCGTCGGCATCAGCAACGTTAGCTGATGTGAACTGCGACACTGCTAAAAGCACTAAATTTCCAACTAAACTAAACTAGCATCAGCATCAGCAGCATGCACGCGCACACACACAGGGCACTTACTACGTGGGTATATGAAGGCGTACTATACATATCAAACATGTGGCGCAGGCGTATTTTTATACCTAAGTATATATAGTCCTATACCTAGTAGATTTTTTTTTTTTTTTAAGTCTAAGTAAAGCCAACTAAAGAAGAGAGCGTAAGAGTTGCAGCTTTTAACAGCTCAACAGAGTCTAACTTTTTGTACCACTATATGTCATGCATGTTATCGTATATCCCGCATATGCATATGTAATATTATATGTGCACATTCACACGCACGTATCACTATGTTCTTTGAAGCTTCGTTGGATACTTGGGTACAGCTTTTCCTAACCTTTTACTAAAATGAAGCTTTATTTTTATCGTGGGTAAATTTAAAGCATGTCGTTTCGTCGAAAGATATAGACTGCAGCCAAATTGCTGGAAAGTTTGCTATTTTGTTCCTTACAAATGTCGGAAAAATATGCAGAGATAACAAATGACTTGCGGTCCGCTTTTCTTATTTCCCCCAATAAAGAAGTTTATAAAGAAAAAAAAATATATATACATATAAATACATATATATATATATTTATATGTTTGATGTTTACGTGTACTTCGTTAGCAATCCATGGTAAAAAGATTTTCTATTTTACCTGACAATGCTAAAGACTAAAAGAGGACTGTAAAAATTATATAAGCGTTTGCAAATATGTGTCAATAATTAAATATTGTCCTGAGTTATATAGCAACAAACCAAAAAAATTGGTTATCTTATTTAACTGTATTATTTTTTAAGTACATATATGTGTTTACTCGAAAAACATCGAACTTTAAACTTCGCGCCACCGATGTGATTGCGAGCTTTTTTGCTCTCCTCCTTCTCTCTCCTCACCCCTCATTATCTCAATGGTCTCGTTTTTTGCGTGCTTTGTATATTTACTCGTAAGTATATGTATATATTCAAGAAGTTCGATTAGCATAATGACTGACTCGTGATTGCAGTTTCGCAAAAAATGCTTCATTATTTCAAGTATAAAAAAAAAAGACACGAGATACGTGCAGATGTTTAATCGATAAAACGCTATATACTCATTAGGGAGTCCACGAAAGAATAGAACAGACAATTGGCACAAGAGCACCGCTTTAGGTACAACGTATAAAAAAAAAAAATAACGTGTCTAAAAAAAAAAAAAAAAAAAAAAAAAAAAGAAGGAAAGAACGAAAACAATGAAACATACTTACGTATGCGTGTAATCCCTGAGTTTCGAGCACATAACATGTGAAAAGAAAGATAAAGAGAAGCTGTAAACTGATAGAATAACGCAATTTAGAAAATTGTTTCGCGCGAATGGAAGGAGAGACATGAAACAAAAGAGGGATGTTTTTTTGCATTATATGTATAGATGCACGAATTTCACTACGAAGAGAGAGGGGGTACGTAGTGGTGCTCGTCGGACCAAATAATCCGTTGTACTTGTACAGAATTGCGCTGATAAGACAGAAGCGAATAGATACCTCTCGGTTATGAGTACGAGTGCTTCTTCTGCACCATACATATACATATATACATATTTACTACACGTTTGCCGAGGCTGGCCTTCGAATGTAGAGAGATGCCGAGGAGGATACTCATGATATACGTCTGTGTGTGTGGGTGAAAAAAATTAGATAATGCCTCGATCGGTCCGAAAAGTGGCACGCGCGGCCTATATGTATATACAGCGAGATCGATTATTTTTGATCTTTTCACTTTCGCGATTATGAATCTCGTCTCAACGACTTTTTTTTTTTTTGTTTGCAGCACGAGCAGGTACACTTTGATTGCTCCATTAATCCTCGATCTTAGATAAAAGACTTTGCGAACAAAAAAAAAACAAAAAAAACAAAGGGTTGTTCAGCCAAACAAAAGCGTCCCAATATTTTCTGCCGTAAATCACGATACAGTGGTTGCTCTGTGTTTACGCGTATGTATATATACGCAACGTAAAAGCTCATTTGGACGATGTCTTGCTCCACAAAACTTAATATATATGAATTTCCCACTCGCCACGTCCGCCCCATCACCATTTGAGCTGATGTATTATATAACCACAGCAGTAGTTTTTCCCGCATATATATATATATGTATACGCATGTCATTAGGCGCGGATGAAAAACAGCATGGGAATAAATTTCTCTTCTTCCCCTTCGACTCTCCAACGGGAAAAATAATGTCCGCCATTTGGATGATGTATGCGCGTATACGCTTTTCCTCACAACAACGTGTAACATGCATATAAAATACACAAGCCATGTACGCCGTAAACAGTGTTGAACGACATATTGGGTGCAGCAAATACAAATAAGGTACACGAGATGTTGTACAGGTCCCTATAAATAATGTATAACAATCGAAAGTTTTCGTCCGTATGTACAATAAATACCCTTAACGTGTATACATACACACACAAATGTGTATGGGTACGTCTTGATCTTCCCGACCAGAGAGACCATATCAGATTAGCTCGGACTTAATGGGATGACTGTTCGTTCCAATAATTCAAATGTGTCGCTCTCGAACTGGGCCAACTCTCTTCTTATGTTATTCCGCGCGTGCACATCATGCACGCCGTATACATACGATTCCTCACTTTGAACACTTTTGCCGATCGATGAAGAGGAACTGGGAAAAAAAAAAAAAAAAAAAAAAAATGTATTGTTCTCAACTCCGTTCCGTAAACAACAAAGGACTGGGATACCGAAAACAGCCCACCAATATTGAGTTAAATCGAAAGTTAAATCAGCGTCTTACCGGTAAGTACAAGTATAAATTATATATATATACCTGTACTGTTTAGGGGTAAGTATAAAGTATCCCCATGGCATGCAGTTAAACGCCCTCGCGTGACACATTTGAAGCGACCACGTGCTCGGTTATACATGTTCATATGTATCGTATGCTTAGAAAATATGTAAGTTGTACACACGACGCACGTAACAACGACGGTATAATATATATGTATACAGGCTTTTCGCGCTGCGTGTCACACACGAGAGATCCGATGGGCAATTTTGCGACGCACAAGCGCCGACGACCTTCTCGCTCCACTGGTTATCGAGTGACCCGACGATCGGCACCCCCATGCCTATCTCTTATACGAGAATTAAATTTTGCGAAGAATAAATAAAAAGCACACACACATGCTCCACCGTAATGGGGTGCCTTCTTCGTTTGACCCCCTTTTTTTGTATATATATATATACGTACAAGGCAGTAGACGAACGAGTCGGGCACGCGATACCCCTGCTTGCAGCAGTAGTCATTGGTACCTATATATACTCAACTGTGTGCCGATTCGTCGATGTTTCGCGCGTCAGAGGGCCGCGGTTGTTCGCGACCAATAAGTTACACATCCTCTTGAATGGGGGAAGCGCGCGTGTGGCGCTTTCGAACAATTTCCGCTCCGACTTGCAGGTATACTTACGGGCTTCGCGATTTTCTGTTCGGAGACACATTGGTTTTGGAAAATCGCAGCCACGAGCGACCAACCGCGGCGGGTTGTATTGCGGGATCGGTCGATCGTGTACGTATATACACGTATAGACTTGGGAGGTTTTTTCAATTTTTTCGCAGTACTCGAAATGCTTGGCTAAACAACGTTGCGCCCAAGTCTGGTAGCGTAAATGTAGGTACGTGTGCTCTTTCACCGGAAAGAGCCTTCACGGTCGCGTGTTTTCAACTTTCTGCATTAAAATATGCCCACTATCCGCTCTAATTAAAAAGAGAAAAAAAAAAAAAAAAAAAACACGCGAAAGCTTAAATGTCGTGGAAATATACCGAAACGAGATTTACACTCGCGTGGCTCGAATTTTTAAGTCAGCTCCCTGCATTTTTTTCCAAAAATAAAAAAAAAATAGAAAAAAAAAAAAGCAAAGTATACTCTACGTCTTTTTCTTGATTGTATATATATATATGTATTATATGCATGCAGTGAGCAAAAAGCTCCGCGCTCAATATGCAAGGTCTCTATAAGGTTGGCGCTTGAAAGGAAGGAGGATCGGACCCTACTTACACGACGTATATGTGCACTGGTGAGATCTTTGAAAAATCGCACGAGGTCTTTTCGCGAGATATCTTCGCCCTCTCTCTAAGCCCCTGTGTATTGCCACTCTCGTGGCAAATCAAAGAGCCAAGTGCAGACCATCGGAGATTTTTTTTCCTTTTTTTTTTTCTTCGTCGTCCCCCGATGAAATGAAATGAAAAGCAAAGAAAAATCGACATACCCGAGGATACATATATATATATGTATAATTGAGAAAAACGAAATATGCAAATGTAACACGGAGATAAAAAAAAAATCACGCTTGGATTCGTGAAAAATCTCAAACTCCCTGCGCCCGACCCGTCCACCCAAGAGGCCTCCTCTGCGAATTACCAAACACACACACACACACCCACAATTGTACACTGCATTCGCGTACCTAATTTTCTGCGTCCCCTGTGAGAGACGTGATGGATATTTCGTGGAGGAGGTAAAACAATAAAAAAAAAAAAAAATTAATTATCCCCGAGGTAGTCGATAAAGCATCAGCCGATGTATAGCCGAGTAATTCCAATTATCATCAATTACGTATAGATCCTGCGAGTATTAATTTTCTCGTCTCCTGGAGAAAAAGAAAACAGTCATGATAAATAATAAACGTCCATTCGGATAATCTGGAGATCAACACTACACGGGTCCAACAGCCATCGGAGGGGGGGGGAGAGAGATTTGATATTTTGCTCTCTCGTTCCCCGATTGCAGGCCGGCGTGCGGATGTAGGTATAATATATACACCCTCGTGTACATCCGAAAGTGATCAATACACCTTGGCCCAGCTGGCGCTGGCGGTGGCGTCGACGTTGAGTTGAATTCATCCCCCAACCCCCACCTCTTTTCCACCCTCGGCGAGAGAGAGGCTGATCGATGCCACCATCCCCTCCTCACCAACACCACCCCCTGTACTGTACACCTACATTTGTAGCTTTCTCTCGTTACTCCCTTGTATGATACATGTACGTATACTTTATGTGTAGTGTGAGAAGTTGCATACAAATATACACCACTACCCTATACATCACATGAAAAAAAAAAGTACGTGCAACGTGCCATTGCGACTTTTAACGTGTTATGTACCTTTTTTCCTTCCTCGCACACATCTATGTATACACGCTGACTGCACAGAGACGCTGACTCGCGCGTTTAGAGCTTTTCCTCCCTGCCTCGACCTCCAACCAGTTTCTTTTATCGCTCTTCAAGTCGAGTCGTGGAGTGTTCTTTTGGCATTAGGAGCGTGCTTTTTTTTTTTTTTTTTTTCCCCGCTTTGAAGCCGAAGGAGCACTCAAACGTATTCGTATAATTAAACTACCTACCCTTGATTTTTCACCCCCGACAATCACGGCCAAATGGATCTCGTGCTCTTTTTTTTTTTTTTTTTTTTTTTGTCCCTCTTGCACCCTCGCCTCCTCATTCATATCTGCTTATCCATCTCGCGATAATTTCGTTANTTTTTTTTGTCCCTCTTGCGCATAAATCTGATGGTCGTCGAGATTTTTTGCCATCCACGCTGACGTGCGACCAATGCAAGTTTCAACGAAGCGCGTATAGTACCGGATATGCTTTTTGAAAATAACAAAAAAAAAATTACAATCTTACATTGTAGGTGCCTGTGATCATCATTATCATCATGTTATTCACAACATCCCAGTTAGATACAACACGAAAAGGATCGTTCTCCACCTCAGCGTGGGATTGTTTGAGAATAATCAAAATCGCCTCTCCTGTACACAACGAAGCATTTATTATTCCTCCGTTTCCAGTATTGGCACGCGCGCACCGCATCTGCGATGCATCATATACATTTAATACATTTATATATTTATGTATCCTACATTGCATCGTGGGGAGAAAAAAAGAGAGGGTAGAAAAAAAAAAGCAAGAGCAAAACAAAAGACAAAACAAACGAACCCCTACTTTTACACACACATATATATACATGTAGGTATAGATTTGTGCAACGCGCGACTTGTCAATGAAACTACCCCCTATATATGTGTGTACACCAATGCGATACACTAGCGAGTTTTCCTGCTTTTCCGTGTGAATCTTTATCTCGTGTCCGAAAAAGCCGTAAGGGGGGGGGGAGGTGGGCAAAAGAAAAGCTCCAAAGGACGAACAGAAGAAAAGAAGAAGTGCGAGGTGTGTACAGGGTGGCGAGAGTATAGCCGAGAAACTCAAACGGGGGGAGAAACGACCGAGGGAGAAAAGCAGGGGAGCCGCGTTATTCGTAGCGATTTTTCCGGCTCTGTCTGGTACTCGCCGGCTTCCAGCATCCACACACACACACACACACACTCGCGAAAGGGAGGACGCCACCTCTCCGAGTAGCGATGGCGTCTATAGTTTTACGTAGAGGCTGAGCTTTCGTGGGTGGGAGGGAGGCCAACGGCAACACGTACACACCCACACAGAGGATATATTGTATAGAGGAGTATAGGGGGTGGGTGCAAGGTTTCGCAGGAGCCGCGATATCGATCGAGGCGCTGCTTCTACTGCCGCCACTATACTGGCTCCTACAAGCTCTGCGCGCCTCTCCGGTGCCAGGTACAATATACACACACACTTACACAGCACGTTCCGGAGCACGAAGCGGCTAGCGAGAGCCAGTCGGCAATGAGAGCACCAGCAGGCTGGTACTGCTGGTCCGCCGCCCAAAGTCACACAGACGAGCTTGCGAGCTTTTTTTTTGTTTTGTTTTTTTTTTGTACCGTTTGTTGTTGTTGTTTTCCCTCGTTGGCGCCAGCACCAGTTGTACCGGTTCCGCGGTCGTTGTTTCTCCGAAACCGTAAGCCCAGAGCCAGGGGCTGCTCGAGCGGGCTCTTTCAAGGTCAGCCGCGCTGCGTTTGATGCTCAAGTGCCTTTGCTGATTGCAGCAGCGCGTACAGGTGGGGTGGCAAGGGGGTGACTCGTCCGCGGTACACTTTGCTGCCGGGCGGTGGTGATATGGTGAAGGCAGTGCCGATGATACCACACAAGGGTGCAGCATCGCCGAGGAGTACATAATATATATACATACATATATATACACGTGCAGTGGATGCAGCGCAAGGGGATACCGAAAGCTCGAGGTAGCTGACGTGATGCCGATGTAGGAACCATGTGCGGCGAGTATGGAGAGCTTTTTTGGCCAGCAGCAAGGGTAGCCGTCGATACTGGAGTTCATTGTCGCGTATCGAGTTGCACTCGTCGACGGTGATCATGATGATGATGTTATTGACGAGGGTACAAAAACAAGGTGCTCGTTGTGCTGGTACTTTATAAGAGCGAGATATAACGAGGAGGACTCACTTACTCCCCAACTCCCCCTACAGCGGAGGGATGAAGAGACGCAGGCTGGACCGATTTTAAAAAAAAGACGAGGCTCGCACGAGAAAAGCTCTCCCTCCTCCCCCCACGCCCACCCTCTATCTCTCGCTCATTTGTATCTCTCTTTCTCATCTCTCGGCCCAAGGATGGAGGACTCCTCGCCACGTATACGCCCTTACCTCGACTGCTGGGACGTAAGTTATCGTATATACATATATACACTCATACGTGTGTGTGTGTGTGTACACCCTACTCTCCGTATGTACATGTATAGCTCTGTGTTTATCCCTCAGTTTTATGATTCCTCCTTTCTCTCCATTCAGGGATTTTTTTTTTCTTTTTTTTTTTTTTGATCCGATGGGTGGGTGATTTAAGGAAGATGACGACGAAGGAAGAAGGGAAAAAGGAAAATCCGCGAATATGACATGACTTGAGCTTCGCCGAGACATGGGGGATGGGATGATGCTGTGATCGATTTTCGGGCCAGAGCGAGGATACGTATACGTACAACTCGGGTATGTGTATTATTACCATCTGTATAAGAAGAGAGGGATGATGTGTCTGCCCATTCATTTTGCGGGCTCGCGTGAATTTTTTCCCCTCTCTCTGTCGGATCGCTCGTCACGTTTGCGTTTGTGGGTTGACGATGATAAAGTATATGTATATATACGTATTAAGCGGCACAGTGGTGAGATAACAGTGCGTTACGAGAAGGTGTTTGCGTCATTGGCAATTTTAATCCAGATTATTGTTTTTTCTTCCTCCACGCCCTCTCCTTTTTTAATTATAAATTCTCGCTAATCGGGGGAGACGATCGGAGAGAGAAAAAAGAGGGGTGTACAGAAACGCCCGGTTAAATCGCTCCGTTACACGTGCGTGTATATAATATGTATATGCCTCCTCCCCGTGCACCTTAATAACAAGTAACAATTTAATGTCGTTACATATGGACGATTCGGTGATCATTCTTCCTTGTGCGCACAAAGACACCTTGTTTTTTTTATTAATATTTGAACTTTGTGTATACATCAATGTATTCGTAGCGGTGTGCGGTTACGCGACGCGCGACGGCTCGCGCGTGTGTTTATCATACACTTTGAAATTCAATCCGATTGGGCGTCTAAATGCCACATATCGGCTTTTCGATAAACATTGCCCGATCAAGTTTTCCGGCGTGTAACCACTTGCGGAGCTCTTCGCGCGATATATCCCCCACTCTATATTATTATTATTATTATTACAACCCCTGCGCGTGTGTATATACATATATGGGCAACGAACTTGACTGCCTCCGGTGCGCGAAGGATTACGACCCGAGCCCCACTTTCGATCTTTTTTTAAACTTCCTCCAACACCCCCTTCCAACCGGGATTATCATCGTCGATCGAGCACAGCGGATTACATCGCATCGGTCGCTCTCTTTTTGATTATGGAGCTTGCTCCTTCGCTTGCGCGTATGCCGATACAATCGCTTTTTTTTTTTAATACGAATATGGGAAATAGCATGTCCATAATAGAAACTACTTTTTTTTCTTCCTCCGTCCCGCTCTTTTGGACACTGTTATGCGTCCCTTATTTTACCACTACTACCGCGTAGCTACATTAAAAAAAAAAAAAAAAAAAAAAAAAGTGAATCGAAGAGGGGTTGTGCAATGAATACCGTTGAGTAACTCGTCGAGATAACGACAATATATACGAAAAGTGGATGCGTGTACCTGTCGATTGAATTAAGTAAACCTTAGTTTTTTCACCTCGTTGAAACCGCTCGTTATTTGCGGAGAGGAGGAGCCGTTGCAAATATGGCACGAGGGAATTTTAATTTTCGCATTTACATTGAGCGAAAAGTCGATTCGAGGCGAATTGGTGCTGTTCAAAACGACGAAAGCCTCGTTTGCATTTACTCGCCCTGTACATAGTTATGATGAATAGCGGTGCAGGGTGGGGGAAAAAAATTCTTACCAACCCCGATAAATTTTAAACGCTATAACGAAAACATGTAATATGATAATTGCACCTAAATTGAAGAGCTCGTGTTATTTTTGTCATGTCGCGTCCTTCGCGCATTTCAACACGAAAAGTAAAATTTTTTTCTTTTTTACCAGAACTAGGGTACATTCGCGTAGTAGATGTTGACCGGTGCTTGGGACAAATTACAAAAAACACGAGGTATTGCGGATATTTTCACGCATTGGTTGAAAAAGAGGTTCCCGTATCTTCCTCACCCCTATATGAACAAAAGTTTACCCGAATGGAAAAAAATAAGGGGTTGGATGTGAATAATGGTCAAACCCTATATGTATTTGTGACTATAGAACGAGGACAAGTACTCGGTGGCGAACAGCCAGGCGCCCCTGGAGGCGGGAGAGGACGAGCACCCGGAGCGTGGCACCTGGACCGGCAAGTTCGACTTTTTGCTCTCGTTGCTCGGCTACAGCGTCGGCCTCGGCAACGTCTGGAGGTTCCCCTATCTCTGCTACTCGAACGGCGGCGGGGCCTTTCTCATACCCTTCACCGTCATGCTCGTCATCGCCGGGCTGCCTTTGATGTTCATGGAATTGTCGATCGGTGAGTTTGCTTCCTTATATTCTTTTTTTTTTTTTTTTTTTTTATATCATTTCACTGTATAATTCTTAGCAATTTTTTTCTTTAAGCATATCACATTAGGTAGGTAATTTTTTCCAACAAAACTTTTTGACTGAATACTTTCAAACTATACGCAATTAAAGTCCCTAAATTATCATTTACTTTCAAAGCTTTCAGTTTTATATCTTTTTAACGTAAAGATGGAATCAAAACACTCAAAATTACAGTTATGTGAAAACNGTTTTTTTTTTTTTTTTTTTTTTTTTTTTTTTTTTTTTATTATTTGCTACGCGTGAGTGTAATGTAATATACTACAGCTGCTGGGGGGGTATTTCAATTCTCAAAGTTCTCTAAAGACTTTCGAAAGCCCTCGCTGCATTTTAATGGCCCCCCTGGGAGCATCAATCACGTTTTTGGCCAACTTCGGCTTCGGCTCCACGTGGCTTCTTTTCTCTACTCCTCTCCAGCGTGCATTATCATTGTTACTGTTTTTAACTTTTTTTCACCTTGATTCCAACAATTTTTCTTTGAAAAAGTTTTCCTTCGATATAATTGGATTAGGAATTCAGAGATGCGGTTTCTTCTGTTTTTCATGACCACGTTATACCAACAATATTATTTTAGGGATCCGACGAATGTACGGGTGGCGCGTTTTGATTAAGAATCAAGGCCACGTGGATCTCCCATCGTGTTTATCTATATAACTCGCCTCTGCAACTTTCGTTTGATGAAAATTTTTTTTTCTTTTTCGTTCTCTGATTCGTGTGAATTTTCGGCCAATATATCATTTAGAATCGACCAACTCAAGGCCTCGATGAAATTTCAAAGTAACAATGAAGCATAAAAAAAAATCTCTTGGACTTGTTGCACTAAATTACACTTACTTCACTCCCCTCCTCCGCTAAATCGCCGGCGTTTTGCTGCCAAAAAATGGCACTTTGTAAGAGCCACTAAATCGTCGATCATAAATTTTCAACCGAGTATCGGAAAAGTTTTGGACCACCCCAGAGTACGTACAATACAAACTGGATGAGCGTGTTAAAAATGCAGTATATATTTACCTACGACTAATATACACAAGTACATGTAGGCTTTTTAATCTTCGCGAGGGTCCATTAAAATAATGTTAAGGGTTGGTTTAACAATGGTATCAATGCAGGCCAGTACGCGAGTTTGGGCCCAGTCGCGGCTTACAAGAGGTTTTGCCCGCTATTGCGGGGCCTTGGCTACGGCATGGTCATCGTCAGCGCCATCGTCATGATGTACTACAATCTCATAATCGGCTGGACGATATACTACATGGTGGCCTCGGTAGCTGGTAAGTTTTCTTTTTTTTTCTTTTTTTCTTTTTCCAAAGCGATTGTGTAAATATTTTGTTTTTGTTGTATTTCATCGGATACAGGGGGCAGCAAAGTACCCTGGAGCGAGTGCGAGGAGGAGTGGAGCACGTCCGAGTGCTTCATGCCCGAGGAGACGTTGCTCTGCACCAGCCAAAACATGACGTACTTCAAGAGGGAGTGCCTCAACTCGACCCAACTGGCCGCGATGAACCTCACCGCCGACAGCCTGGCGTCCATCGTCAGGAAACCCCCTGCCGAGGAGTACTTCAAGTAAGGCTTTGCTCGTCCCTTCTTTTCTTTTCACATTCAATACCTCGTGCGTGTTTTGATTGTTGCATCAGTAACCACGTGCTGCGATTGAGCCACGGGATCGAGGATACCGGGACGATAAGCCCGAAAATGGCCGGTTGCCTCCTGCTCGCCTGGATCATCGTGTTCCTCTGCCTGAGCAAGGGCGTGCAGAGCTCCGGCAAGGTCGTCTACTTCACCGCTCTCTTCCCCTACGTGGTTCTGGTGAGTCCGGGACGAACTTATATCTCTCACTCTCTCTTTCATCAACGACTGATCACTTTTTTTTACGCGTGCAGATCGCCCTGTTCTGCCGGGGTATATTGCTGCCGGGTGCCGACGAGGGTATCCTGTTTTACCTGACGCCCGACTGGCAACGGCTCACCTCGGCCAAGGTCTGGGGCGACGCCGCGGTCCAGATATTCTTCGCCCTGAGCCCGGCCTGGGGTGGCCTCATCACCCTCAGCTCGTACAACAAGTTTACCAACAACTGCTACAAGGACTCGCTCATCGTGGCCGTGAGCAACATCGGGACCTCGTTCTTCGCGGGCCTCGTCATATTCTCCGTCATCGGCTTCCTCGCCCACGAGCTCGGCGTCCCCGTCGCCTCGGTCGTCGACCAGGGCGCCGGCCTCGCTTTCATCGTCTACCCCGAGGTTTCACACCCCCACCTACCCCCTTCTATATGCTATATTTTTCATTTGGTTTGGACCATCCTCGATGACCATTGGTCTTCTTTTTTTTTTTTGATAGGTGGTGTCGAGGCTACCCGTGGCGCCGGTCTGGTCGCTACTGTTCTTCGTGATGTTGCTCACGCTGGGCCTGGACTCGCAGTTCGCCCTCATGGAGACCGTGACCACCGCCATCCTCGACGGCATCCCCGCGCTCAGGCACTACAAGCTCTGGGTCGTCCTGGGCTGCGCGGTTTTCGGCTACGCCGGTGGCCTCATATTCACCACCAACGTGAGTCCCGTTCATCATCATCACCATCATCATCATCATTATTATTAATTGTTGTTGATGACCAAGCTAAATTATAATCGTCGTGCAGGCCGGTATGTACTGGCTGCAACTGATGGACAAGTACGCGGCCAACTGGTCGGTCCTGCTGATAGCGATATCCGAGTGTATCCTGGTTGCGTGGGTGTACGGGGCGGATCGTTTCCTCGACGACGTCCAGCAGATGATTGGGGCGCGGGGCAGGGCTTGGCGCTTCTTTTGGACGTGGATGTGGAAACTCGTGACGCCGGCGGCCCTGTTTTTCATCCTCTTTTTCAACTGGGTCGAGTACGAGCCCCTCAAGTACGGCACCTACACCTACCCCATTTGGGCCGACGCGGTCGGATGGTTCGTTGGACTCGTCCCGGTCCTCGTTATCGTCGGCCTTGCCATCGTGAGTATATTTGTGTGTGCTTTGCCCTACAAATACCGATCAATGAATAACATTGCTGTTTCTTATTTTACATTGATGGTTTTTTTTTTTAATACTCTTACCACAAATTCGATAATCCCGATTTTTGTTCACTGGCTGTATACAGCTGTGTACCGTGTGCTACATTAGGCTCTCTCGTGCAGGGATGAAAAAAAAAAGAAAAAAACAGATGCTAAGCTGACGTTTCGGATTAACCGAGCGCGCATAATATAATGTCGACTTGTTATCATACATCCACCCCATTATACGAGCTCGCTCATCCGCGTGAAAAAAAAAAAAAAAAAAAAAAAAAAACCCAAATAATTCGAGCACGTGTTTGACGTTTCGTTGCGCGAGGCGTGGATCTATGTTATAGCCGAGGCTCGCCCACGCGCTCTTGCGCCCACGCGATGATATATAAATATGTACCTATGTCGTGTTTTGTAGAGCCAACTGAGGGTGAGCAAGCGGCGACGTCCGGCTTACGAGGACGAGGACGAGGAGGAGGACGAGCTGCGGAGTTCGAACAACGAGAGCGTCTGGTGTCGAGCGCGCAAACTCCTCCAACCGACCCCGGATTGGGGTCCTGCTTCGCGCAACCCCCTCACCCCGTCCAGGACAGTGCCCCACACCCCGTCGCCAGGTAATTTCACCCGCATTGTTGAGATTCTTTTTTTTTCCACCAACCTCTTTTTCTTTCAACCCGATGTCGATTGTGATACACGTTGTATTGGGCGTAGCGCTGTTTGGATGCACGACATGTCGCAGTGGGGGGGGGGGGGATTTTGCGTGGGAAGTGGGACAGAGGTCGGGGAGAAGTTAAAGAAATGGTGCGAGGGTCACGTGGATACGTGGCATATTGGATTAGAAAGTTCGACTGGGTGTATCATGTACCGAGATTCGGAACACCCGCAGGTTTGTTCACCACGGGGTACGGATAAGCTTTTCTGACGTACACAGATATGACACATATGATGTTGCGTATACAAAGGATAATCGAATATTGTTTTTTTTTTTTTTTTTTTTTTTCCCATACAAACATGTTTCACTTGCTTACTTTTTTTAAAGATTTTTTGCGAGCTGACGTAGTACTGTGCAATTTAATTTTATCAGCTCCAGTTGGGGTCACGTGAAAAAAATTGCCTTCGTCGTATTTCCTTAAACATGATGTATGATTACACGTAGTTATAAAACAGACGAGAAGTAAGTGTGAATCGAATTAATAAAGTAAAGGACGAAGTTAAAACGATATTCGCAGGTGGGCAGTGCGGCTACGACTCGGTGCGGGACACGATAGTCCTGGTGAACGGGCAGCCGATGACGACGCAGGGAGCCAGCGCGGAAGCCGGTAGCTCGCAAAAGCTGCCCGGGCCCTCGATCCTCAAGAACTCGAGCAAAACCGATCTCATCAGCTCCCAACAGGTCTGACAGGACGACGGTGGCCCCTGCTACGACGATTACCCCTCGCACAAGTGCACCTTCTCCACCTTTGGATTTTAAAGTGACGCCCGAGCGTGATGATGCTGCTGCCGCCACGACCGATCGATCTTTGTACTCTAAACAGCTCCCCTCCCCCCCCCCTCCCATGCCAGTAGTCCCGGTTCCTCCCTTTCAACCCCGTGACTGTAGCGGTGTTATTTTTAGCTGCCGCTGAAGCTATAGAGCTTGTTTCAATTTTTCAGTAGTTGCGGGACGAAATTCATGCGCAAGGGAGATACCCGAGGTTTTTTTCGTAGCGACTTTCCCAAGGTGATATAAATCAGTCTTTTCGGAGGATATTTACTGCGTTTCGTAAAATTTACATCGCTGTATGATTTTTACTTCACACACACACACACACACACACACACACACACACACACACACACACACACACACATGGTCAATCCGAGGGTGTAAAATTACAATCGCGTTAGATCTCAATCAAATTTATGATGCTTACTCAATAATAATTCAAGTGTGATGAACTACACACTTTGTTGAAATTTCGTTTTGTTTTTTTTTTTTTTTTTTTTTTTGTTTTTTTCCTTACAATGTATTTCTGTAGAGACGTTGATAAAACCAAATCGATGATTCTTGAACTATTTTACCAAACCGATTGAATTAATTGATATGAGAAGGCTGTAGAAATTAAACCATTTTTTTTCACTCTATATAGCTTTTCTACATTGGCTTTTCTCATTAAAAAGTGCACAGTTTAGCGGAACCGGTTAAATACTTGGTGCACCGTAGATTAGGTTGTTCTTGAAATTCTTATCAATACAACGGCAATGCATTCAATAAAAAATCGAAATTTTAACTACTTGGATTTGCGGTGCATGTATTGTATACCTGATAATGTAAATAAAACAATATATTTTTAGCTCAATTCCGAGAGTGATAATTATCATGACTGTAAGGAAAATCGATTATTTAACAAACGATATTTTACTACATGAAATTCGTAATAAACGCAAGTGCCGAAATGTGAATAATTTTTTTTTTTTTTTTTTTCCTGACAATTGTTTTTTCAAAGCGTAAAAATCAATTTCAATTTTTTTTCATTCCATACGCTCCGCTTTAAGAGAGCTTGCTTTCAATCGGAAATCTACGGAGTGGTGAGAAAATTGAATACGAAATTGAATGAGACACATTAAATATAAATATGAATGAAATCGAAAAAAACTCGAGATAAACATGCACTTGAGACACTTGAGAAAAACAACGCGGCTACAGTCCACAAAAAATATACACATACACATCACCTATATATGCCCTTAGCCAAACGCTCATGTCTTTCACAATGGATGCCGGAATTACGTAAGCATTGCTGATTTGAAACTCAAAATTTATTGTTAATAAACCACAAGTATACTCGACGATTCAATTCAAAAGATGTGCACAGTTTGCTAATCGATGAAAAGTGATTTATCAAAAGAAAATGAAAATTTCTCTTTTTACTGTGAAAAAAATTATTATAGGTACCCGAATACAATGAATTTACATTCGTGTATGCATTTCCATTGATATATATGCACTATTTCAAAAATCGAATATATATATAATACGTTACAGCTGGTCCTGAAGAGAATTTTTTTAAATATATATACATAGAGGAAAAACTACAACTAACATATAAATATTAAAGTTACTGTTTTGGAAAACTAACAAATTTAAAGTTGTATATAAATAAATGAATGAAATCAGTGCTTGGTTCAGAGTATAAACAGAAATATTGAAACGTTTGAAGCTTTTGATACGTTGATAATGAAACAGTAATATTAGTTATCATCACCAAAGCTACGCCAATGGAAAATCTAAAATACATAAATATACTCTTTTTCGAAAACCGATACACCCAGCACACGATAAAAATGGCACTACGATGATTTGGATACCATTAAAAGGAAATCTCCACTTACCTGCACTCAACGAATTAGATTTTTGTATTTTGGTCCAGAATTCCACGTAATTCTGTGAATTTGGGCTGTGGTAAATATTGCAATTATGAGTTCGCGCAAAATCATTAACACTCGCGAGTACCAAATGTGTTGCGCAGGTATGTACAAAGTGGAGATCAAAAGGTATTGTTGGTTCGTTCAATGTTAATAGTCAATAAAAATGAAAAATAAGCCGTATGAAAAACATGACCCTTTATTTGTTAAATATACTTACAATTATTTATAAGTTATAGTTAGTGAGAAACAAAGTGTTGTTGATTAAAAAAAAAAAAAAAAAGAAAAAAAAGAATAATATGGGTGTTTAGATATGTGTTCCAATGTACGACATGTATAAGCCACTCAGAGGTTTATTTACATTCGTTACTATCTGTATGATTAGTATAAAAAATACATATATCAATGTTACCAGATGACTTTTAATTTGTACTTAATTTAATCTGATATTTGCTTCATATGGAAAAAAAAAAAACACAAATCAATTACAGTGAGAAAGTGTTTGTACTCGTGCAAAGTATGTGAATCGTCTTGCCATTTAGCCACAATGCTAAAAACATTTTTTTTTCTCTAGGAAATAAATGTGAGTTCATGATACTTAAATGTGAGGGTAAACGTCCATTGATCTCTGCCTTGACTAGTATTAACTAAAATTCTTGCTTTTTCTTTTTTTTTCGTTTTATTTAGACTATTATAAATTTTACTAAAAATTTGAAAGTCTCTAGATTATAGATAAAAGTTCCTAAAATAATTTAGAAACTCTTTGTGTCACTCACACAAAGCTTTTTTTTTAAAATAAATATATTGTACCAATAATGTAATCGTATTTTTATTTCTAAATTTTTATCCATATACATTTCTATGTCAACATAATTGTAATGGTTTACGTTTTTATCACTGATACTACCAGATTAAAAAATAGCATAAATGTAATAAAGAGTATTTTTGCTTAGTTATAAGGAAAGTGGTAGACTTATTTTCCAGCACGACTATATAAATAGCTCAGTTTATATAAAGCATATAACGACTGATGAATTTTTTACTAAACTATTAATACATTATTCAATCAAAAGTAATTTTATTAGTTTGTATTTTCTACGACAAAAATCTACTGATTTTTATGTTATTTTCGAAACCTCCTTCATCAAAGACTTTTATTCATTTACGTAGACGATAAGTTTGAAAATAAAAATAATTTGTTACATTTTTTAAAATTGAAGATACAATCCCCACTATCAACTAAATTGGAATTGACAAAAACCTTATTTCCGATGATACAAAAGAAGGGTTTATAAAAAATGAAAAAAATTTATTACGTAAGTACTCATCAAAAGTCACAATAAAATAAATGGGTTATCCCTCTCTAAACAATGTTAGAGAAAAGTGAGAAATGTTGTAATTCTTACAATTGTAAGGCGAAAAAGAAAGTGCGAGTGCTATTAACAATAAGTAAACAGTAGATAAGCGTAAGTGTCCGAGAGGAAACGTATAGAGATTTTTGTAATCTCCCAAAAACGTGAGTCATGTAGATATACTGTTGTGTTAAAAATTTTTGCTTAAAGTATTTTTCTGCGAAGTAACATAGTGATATTGTCCCCCAAAAAAGGTGACTGTACACGTGTAAAAAAAAGAGTGACTGATATTACATAGTTAAAGCTATACCCGTGAAAAATAAATGTCCCGCGTGGATACGTTTATCAACGGTACCGTAGCTGGTGAAAATATATACATACACATATAAATATCAAAATACGTAATAGTAGGAAATGTATAAAGCATTACTTGTGGTACTCTCCTTGGAGCCGATAAAAAAAAAAAAAAAAAAAAAAAAAAAAAAAAAAAAAAAAAAAAATAGAAAGTTTATAAGATTAAGAGATGTATAAATAAATGAAACAATAATAATATGTCGCCAAGATCCTGGAAAATTTGATGATTGCAAACGATGGGCAGATAAAAGTAAAAAGTATACGTTATTTGTTGTTAATTAGACGTTAACTGTAGCAGGTGCTTGGGTGATGAAAAAAAAGATGGAAAAGATGCAGCAACTCTGTTTACCAAAAAAGTGAGAGCAAAAAAAAAAAAAAAAATAAGTAAATTATAACCAGCGTTGTAAGGTTGTTCATAGTAGTATTCGCAAAGTCTTTTCGTAAGTAAAACAGGAAAAATGAGAAAAAAAAAAAACAAAAATTAAACTAAATGAAAAATAAACTTGAGCGATGGTGACTGGTCCACTTGCGGCCAAGTGCTCTGAGCTTATTTAATGAGCTAACAAATAATAGAGCAGACAGTACAAAGTAATGTGTCCTAAATGATGTACGAGCAAAGGATTTTACGGGAAGTAACGTTAAGTTCAATTATTGAGATATGTCTGATTCTATGACATCCGTTTTGTTTGCAGCACAATAAACAGGCGCAAGTAATTTTAAAGTGAAAACGCGAAACGCGTACTACTGTCACGTTCTTCGGAGTGAAACTTCACCTGAATATACACACACAGTTAGAGATGGTAGAATTAACGAAATGTTTGAAATCGACAGGTAAAGTTTATTGTAAATCCATGAAACACTGGCTGGTCAAAAATTTTTCTTCGTTTTGTGGTAAAATGTTACTCCGAGAGCTAACCAGAGTATGTATACGTTGTAAATTAATTTTCAAGTCTCGTACGTAAATATTGCGAATGAATGGTGAGGGAGAAAATGTGCTTTATATGCTATGGATAAACTTATAATTCCTATACTGCGTCTCGAAATTTTTGTGCGTCCTTGGAAAGTTTTAGAAAAATGTTTGATACCTTTACATCAGTGATGCATCGTGAATATTCATTTGTTGTCCCTCAAATGTAACTCACGTAAGAAAAAGTATTAAAGTCTCAAAAAGCGCTGTAATTCATGGCAGTCGTCAAATGTTTGATAAACAATAGAAAAATTATGTAAAGACGAGCGGAGTAAATCTTTATGTAGATTAAGTGTAAAATATAAAAGCCGAAAATAAATTAGGTACCAACAGAATTGTGATGTGATGTATAGAAAAACATAACAATCTGTACATTTTTTGTTTTCGTAGAGTAATGACAAGAATTGATTGTTGGCCAAAGTCATTTGGCTTGAAAACATTGTCTATGTCTGTTGTCGCTTGGTAAATACCGGGAAAAACGTTTTGAAATGAATCGGACCCAAATTAAATTATTATGTCTCAAAAAGTTGTTTATTGTGAACATCGCGGTTTTTACATATAAAAATATAGATGCAAATATGTATAAAAATAAAAATAGGTGTATACAAGTTGTTACATAATGTCAAGACGAAGAACAAAGTTTTGTCGCGGTAAGAAAATTATTCTTGTAAGTGTAAAACAAAAAAAAGCAGATGTATACTTAATTTAAGATATTGATGAAAGAAAAAAAAGAAAAAAAAAAAGAAGCAAAAAAGAAAAAGAAAAAAAACTTTAATGTTCTATTTTGAAGATACATAGTACGATGATATACATTATATTATGTGTATATGTATATGATGCGTGTAAGATTAATAAAGTGTTGATATATGGTTTGTCGGCTCGATTTATTACATACATCGCTTAGCCTATATATATAAGTAACACTAATTTGTTTATGCTCATGAAATGCGAAAAAGTTAAAAATGACGGCAATGCACATTCAAGTGACTCGCACACACTTGACCGAGACTCTCTTTTTTTTTTTTTTTATTCGTCAATTAAGCTGGTGCTAAATAAGCGATGATGATTAACGGCACGTGCGCGAGCGTGAAATACCTCACGGTTTTATTATTCCGTAATTTTGTCATAAAAATCATCTGACACACATATATAAGGATGCAGTTTCAAATGACGTGCTACAAAAAAGTACCTCGTGCAACGTTAACTTGGCAAAAAAGTTTTCACTCGAAGGTAATACACGTACATGTATTAAGTATACCATTGTTGCAAGTATCACAAAGACACATATAGTTATAAAAATATTTTGTCGAGTAAAGTTTAAAAAAGTAAAGTACACCGCGCGAAGAGAAAACAAACATTGGCGTGCGAGAGAAAAAAGTATCATCATCACGAATACCGATAATTTTGCAACGACTCTTTATCCCCTTGAGCATATATATATTATATGTAGGCATCAAGACGCGTCACAACGATCGGGCACAAGCAGCAAATGCAAGAGAAAAAAAAATATACGACGCGCTAAATTGCTTAACGTACACACATATTTATGTATCTTTGGAAACGCTTTCTCTTTTCCCCATATTTCATCTCTCGAGCTCTCCCACACGGGACTTCCATCCGAGGGTACCACCGTAACCGTTTCGCCAACCGCTGCGAAAGTCCCAACCATGTATATATATACAGTACAAACTGAGATGTCACTCCAGCGAAGCAAGTAAAGTCGGCGAATGTACATGATGTATGTGGGCGCGACGCGTTACGAGCTGTTGGTCTGCAGTTGGGTGGACGGAGATGGTTTCTTCATGAGGACCCGAGTCCTGGCGACGGCCCCGATGACGGGCTTGACGAGAACGATGACCGCGGCAACGGCAAAGGCAGCCAGGGCCAGGGCACGGCCCGTGACCGACGCCCCGATGTGGTCCCACCAGTTGTTGAAGGTGCCATTGACGAGGGTAACCAGCAGCAGTACCGTCATGCCGATCCCCGCGAAGCCGTGCACGACCTTGAGCAGGACGGGCCGGACGCGCGGGTACACCCACTGGGCGTTGTTCGTGAGAACGCCGAAGCCCGCGATCGCCCAGACGAGGACGAAAGTCACGAGGCCGAGGATACCGTGTAGCGTGACAAAGTGAGACTTGCCGTGGATGTTCTTGTTGACGACTATCACGACGAAGCCGGCCGTCATTAGCAGCAGACCGATCAGGTGGAGGATCCAGTGGAGGGTCACGCGTTTTTTGCGCGCCACCTTGCGCGTCGCGTACACCTCGCCCGAGATCGCGTAGACGCCCTCGACGATCAGAAGCCCGGCCTGCAAGTGATGGGGGATTTTTTTTTTTTTTTTTTTTTTTTTTTTTTTTTTTTTTTTTATTGCTCTTTCATGCAAATCGAGAGGGAGGAGGGCGACATCTCTCAAGTAGAACGATTTCCCAGAAGCGGCGAGGCTCTTCTGTAATTGAGGCTGCTGAATTCGCCGAGTCGAGGTGACGAAATTTATTAGCGCCGATTGTATACGTCGACCCATTTTTTTTTTTATTGCCGACTCTGTTTTTCCGCAAAAGATGCTTTTTTTATCTCTTTGATTTTATTGTTTTTCGTGCGAGAGTCTAAATTTGGCGCGGACGAGAGTAAACAAAAAAAAAGAATATATCGGCCGATGATGGTTCAAATTTGCCGAATGAAGCGTATAAGTACGTGCGCGTATTTTCTCGTGACGCAATCCCGGCCGATGCCTCAATTGACTCCGTTCGAAAAGGCGCCGATTCGCTCTCGCGAGGACGTGCTCGTTGGAAAGCACTTTGAAAACACCGGTACGAATGAATTTAATGGTACACCCGTTAGTTAAAGCGTGAAAAAAAAAAAAAAAAAGAAAAATCGGCCTTGACTATATATCGTGAAACAAGATTGCAAATCGCTACGGTAATTTGCAGCACCCACTGATTCATTAAAAAGAAGGAAAAAAAAAAAAAAAAAAAAAGCTTCCATTGTACCGCACGTGACGAAACGGAATTTTATTCAAAAGAAGAAGAAGAAGAAGTCATCACCGCCAGGCATATACATACCTAATAATAAACCATGACCTCAGCCTAATCACACATACTCTGTACTCTCTCAGCGGTTACAAACCGATCCGATTTCCCTCTTCGATCCGCACCAACGAGCAACGAGTGCCCCGTGAAAACTCTTCCCCTCCTCCCAAAAATAAGTTAAAAAGAAAAAGTAACACTCACTCCCAGTGCCATGCAGATCGGGTGCCAGGAGAACAGGCTGTAGTTCTCGAAGCCGAGCTCGACGATGTAGATCACCGGGGCGAGCAGCAGGACGTGCGTCAAGACGTTCACGAGCATCGCGAACCTACTGGGCGGACCCTTGCTTTCCCCCGCGTGCTCGTTCTTCATGCTGCACCGGTGCACAGTACACGGCCCAAAGATGAGAGGAAGCGAAACGGAGCGCGAAAACCGGTAGGGCGGCTCGAGGGCTCGGTAAACCTGCAAAGAATCAGAGATCGCCGCATAACATGCAGCGCAGTGGGGTTATTGTATTATTATTATATACGTGTATGGTGAGGCAGAGAGGCGCACCAGCTCCTCTTTACGTAATGGCACTACAGACGAGCAGCGAAATGCTCGGCCAATGATTCATCATTCATCGCGGCTGCTTATTTTTTTTTTTTTTTCTTTTATTCTTGCAGCTGATGAGCGACGACGCCCTTTTTTTGCACGTTTATCCGTGGGTTTTTTTGTTTTCCCTCCCGAGCTTTTTGGGTTATCGGCGTGTGTGCTTTATACAGCTGGCCGGCACGTGCGCGCGGGAGAGAGAGTAAAAATATACGCGCGGGGATGAATGTTTGTCGAGTGAAATTCCCTTGTTTTTCGGGGCGGGGTTTGTTTACAAACGCGCGAGAGGAGTCGATGCTCCCGTGGCTCTGTATGTGTACGAGGGCGCCCGGCGACCGAGATTCATTCATCCGATTTATTCGCGAATGAATGGCCGATGTCGCCGGTGTTGGTCGAGTACATATATACTAGATCGGTGTACGGTTTGATTGACAAGGTGTTTTTTTGTTTTTCTTACGACATCGCTTTCATAAGATTTTTATCAGTGGCGACGTGCTTGGTTGATAATATGTTTTTTTTTTCCCCGATTTTGGTGGTTGACATAAATTTTCCGCATACTTTGAGTCTTTCGGTAATAATTTATTCGTCGAACTCGCTTTCAACCAGGGCGATAATGTGATAACACTTTCGTCACGCGCATATCGCCTGTATTAATAATAAAAAAACGAGCCGTTTACAGTTTTTTTAACCAGCAAGAGAAAGCACGAGGAAGAAAAAGAAAGAAAAATTAGATTAGACATGTGTTCTCTCGAACAGTGCACACGTGAACTTTTTTGCGTCGCAGAGGCAAATAAATTAACATGAAACGCTCGCGCGTAGTATACCATAAAAAAGAACCTCTCGCTCGACGCCACCTTTTTCAAGAAAAAAAGGTAAAATTAAAAAATGTACCTGTGTCTTCTGGGTCCAAAAGAAAAAAAGAGCACTGTTGCATAAGGTACATACACAATGTATAAATTATCTCCCAAACGCGACACTCCCGCGAGGAAAAACAATACAGGTGCGCGATACACCAATAAATATATGTATATATTTTCAAGATACAAAGCACACGGTACACGCGAATGAAAATAATGCTCGACAACGCAGACAACACCAGTGTAACTTACCGACTGACTGACTTTGTCGAGCTGCGCCAAACCGATGCTGCTCTCGGCCTTGATGCTTTTCTCTCTCTCTCTCACTCTCTCGCGTTCTGTAACGTACAGCAGCGAGTGTCCGCACACGCAGCGTTACTTTGCTCGCGCCTCTCCTCCTCCTCCTCGTCTTCCTCCTCCCACTGCAGCTATTTTTTATCACGCATACATGCATATACCTATTTATACAGTGTACAATGTTGCGTAGGATCGGTTGTACACAGCGCGCGTATGGGATTTTATCCCCTCGTGCTCGCTCCTCTTCTTTATCGCGGCCAGTGGCCCTTTTTTACGCGCTTTGCGTCTCGGTGTAGGTAGTACAGCGGATCGGAATTCCTCGGAGCTGAGAGGGATCGTTTGGCTCTATTGGAGTAATTTTCTTTTCTTCTTTTTTTTTTTTTTATCATTATTTTTGCGCGTGTTACAGGTCTGTTTTTACGAGATACGAGATATTTTTAGGGGGCTGTTGGTCTTGGGTTTTATCTTTTTACGACCCATTGCGAATCAAAGGATACTCAACAAAGAAAGAAAAAAAAAAGGATAAAGAAGATAGTTAAAAAACATGTTTTGCTCGGGCATTTATATGTATAGAAGCAAATGAGTAGATAAATCGACGGTCGTCGTCACTTGGCGTGGCTATCATTATATTTATGAAACGTCTTGGAATGATATTCCATCGATTTATGCATTGTCGTTTGGCGAGTCACAGGAGCGCGCGCTTCGAAGGAATGCGAGGCTCGCGGCGCGCACGCAAGTAACACGCACCTCCCGGCAGTTAATGATACATAAAATAAAACAAGTACGTAATTATATGTATATTGAAAGTGGTGATGCGTGTGCTTTGGAAAAATTAAAAATTTGTATTCACGAGTCGCAGCTTCGGTTACTGTCGGCTCTATTTGTATGCCAAAACGAGGTGGATTTTCACAAAGGAGATTATCCATCGCTTCTTGTGCCGGTAATTACATTAGTTTACATTTTAGAGCTGCACGTTTTACTCTCTTTGTCTCTCTGGTAAAATTAAAAATGCTTATCACCTCCTTACAGGTAAAACAGACAATGTCTTCATAATGCATTTATACTGTTGGAGCTCCAATTAAACGTCATTTTGGTTTTATTTTTTTCTTACTATTTCAAGCTACAATTTTTATTAGTTATGTATTTTCCCCATGAGATCATTGTTACAAAAGTCGAAACAAAGAGCGCGGGAGGAAAAACAGGATTGAACTAATATCCTCTGTACATCCCGCGACTTTTTGTAGATTTATTCATGTACGCGTGGGTACCTACAAACAGGTGCGCATTTGAAAATCCAGCTACAAGCAACATCGATTGTTGTCCAGCCGAGGGTCGCCATGGCTACCACGTGGAACACACTCGAGCCACTGTGGCCGTACCGCAGCAAGTGGCGCACTCCCCGAAAGGAAAAAAAAAAAAACAAAAACAAATGCGTAAATTTCAATAAGTATTAAAAAAAAAAAAAAATCCAAAAAATCGGGGCAAAATGGTCGCGGCAGACAGACGCCGGGGTTTCATCGTAGCGACGGCGTACAACTTCTTCGGCGTGTCCACGACTGACCGGCTGAGCGTCGACGAGGTGGCCCTGCTCGAAGACTTCCTCGACCGCGCCAAGTGCCGGACCCTGTGCGCCGTGCCCCTGGGATCCGGCGTCCAATTGACCAACGACGTATCCCCGAGCGAAACCACCCTCGTCTTTTTCAAGGCAAGTGTCCAATTTGCAAGGTTGGCGTATGTCCAAAAAATCGCTAAACCTTGCCACGACAGATCTCGGAGTCGCCGGTCACGGAGCGGAACTTTCACGAGGTGGTGCAGGTGGCGTCGGTCAGCAAAAACAGGACAGCCTCGCTGGCCGAGGCGATACGCCAAGTGTGGACGCCGGCCTTGCACCGGCAGGGCTTCGAGTCGCTCCACCTGCGGAAGCTCGAGGACGAGCTGTTGGGCCCAAAGGCCACGGCCTCGCTCGTCGAGGAGGAGGCCCTCATGAGGGACAAATCGCGGACGGGGCACGAGCGGAAACTCTACGACCAGGCGGTGCTGCACCTGAAGAACATCAGGCGCGAGCTCGAGAGCGCGGCCGTCGCGAGGTTCGTGTACGCTCGAGAGGGTTTTTTTTTAATTCACTTACCGATCTTTTGCCGATGCAGGGAGGGCCTCCTGATGGTCGAGGAGACGCTAGACTCGGTGTCCGGGCACTTGGACGAGCTGTGGAAGCTCGAGGGCCCGGTCTACTCGGAGGAGCGCATGAGGCTCCTCCTCGAAATCATAGGCAGCGAAATCGCCCAAATAGTCAAGTCTCTGATAGCCAAAGTAAGCGTTATCGGCGATTATATTATAGGTATAAGTATTTAAGATTGTAATTGTGGATTTTCGTCAGGCTAAAGCGGACCCTCGGGCGAAGGACGAAGCCACGGGGCACGGGGCCGTCGTGTGTCAAAAGTGGGTGGAAATGTCGGTGCGAATGACGAGCTTGTTTTGGCCCCACCACTCGTCGCACGTTTGGAAGGGAAAGCCGTGCAAGCCGGAGAAGTGCAGCGGCTTCGAGACGAGGCTCAAGTAATGATTTTTTTTTTTATTTTATTAAAAGCGGTCAAGAAAGAAAAAAATGATAAAGGAATCTTTTTCATCCAGAGAAATAGCGGAGATACGGGCGCAGAATCGGCAACTGACGAGGTTACTCACGCAGAGCGAGAGGGTCAACCTGGGCACGGACGCGCTCTTTGAGAAATTCGATAATGTCGAAGGTATAAATGTAAGCATCGAAGGGGAGCACAAGTGCAATATAATTGATGTGGAAAAATATGTCAGAGCTGCTGGGCGAGGAGAACGACGTCGAGTGGGAGCGATTGAAGGACAAGGTTTACAACGGCTTGGCACCGGTGGAGGAGCGCGTAGCTGCAAAGCTCAAAGTGCAGATCACCGGAGCTAAGACGGCCCTCGCGCTGGAGACGGAGTTTCGCCGGTACAGCGAGCTGATGAAGAGGGAGGCGATCAAGGGCTCACTGCGCCCCGAGCGACAGGCCCTCTTGTCCGCCTACGCTGATCTTATCGGTGGAGTATATTTTTAATCATTTTCCCTCGCGAGATATTGCTCCTCTGTTCTTTATTTATTTTTCTTTTTGTTTCATTTCTTATGAGATTGGGACTCCAATTGAAATAAAAATTTTTCTTCTTCCAATCATAGTTACCCAAGTTTTTATATATTATTAATTTTATAATTAAAATTTTCTAACTGTGAAACATAAAACACGTGAATGGCAGCCACACCGATTGTGTCTCCTTAACGAGTAATCTTTTTAAAAGTAAATTACAAAAATTTAAAAGTGGTGATGAATGTTTCACTGTTATAAACAAAAAAACAAAAAAAAAAAAAAAAAAAACAAATGATTAAAGACGCGTGCCAAAACTACTCGGACACGACCGACTTACTGGACACCCCGGAAATATTGCAAAACGTGCAGGCAGCGAGGGTCTTGGAGCTCCGGCTCGAAAGCTTACAAAAACTCGGGAAACAGCTACTCGGGGATCTCCCGGGTTACGAAGAAATCGCGGAGAAGCTCAAAAACGCCACCAGAGAAGCCACTCGGGAGAGACAGGAGCTGACCGAGCAATGGGTATACAAAATTTTCAACAAAACGCCTTGACGAACGAAAAAAAAAGTACACGCGCTCACCTCAAGGTAAACGAGACGAGGCAGTCCGTGGTGGGCCGAGAACTGTCCCTGGGCAACGAGACGGCGGTGGTCGAGCTGACGAGCGCCAAGCTGATGCGCGTAAACTTCGATCCCCGGCTGACGGCCCTCATCCGCGAAGCCCGGGGCATGTCGGCCCAGGGTGTCGAACTGCCCCGCGAAGTCAAGGATCTCGTGGAACGGGCCTCGGCCCTCACCGGACGGGCCCGGGCGCTCGAGCAGATCGCCAACTTCCACAACACCATCGGCGACCGGATGATCGCCTCCCAGAGGCCCCTCATGCTGGCCACAGCCCTCGAGCTAGCCGCCGCGGTCAGGGAGCAGTCCGGCGTCGTGTGGTCCGACCCCCGGGCCGTCGACTTCTTCACCAACCGCCTCAGAGAGATGGTCGGTTTGATCATCCTCTAGTCCCTTTCGATAACTTTGATGATTTTTATTCAAATGTTTGGTTGAAGGTGAAAAAGTTTGCCCGGCAAAACGCCGAGCTCGCTTCGAAGCACGCCAACCTGCGGGACCTGGTTTGCAATTTATTGAAGGGCGACGCCGTCAACTTGGCCCTCAATCAGAGCACGTGGAAGGAGGCGCTGAGGAGCATGAGGGACATCGTCGGCCGGGTCGAGTACACTTACGGCAACTCCAAGGCGTGGAAGCTCCACTGGGACCGGCAGTTGCTAAAAGTGCTGAGCATAGCTTACAGGTAGGGGAGAGTAAGGGTTTTTTTTTTTGTTCGACGCATATGCCGCTTCATTTTTCGTCCCGATAGAGCGGCGTTGCCGACACTGGTGAAAAAGCTTCCAGAGGTGCGGGCCGAGTTAACGTATCGGGATGAGTCGCTGATGTGGCGCCCGAGTCTCGAGGACATACGGATGAAGCTGTACTCGGGGGTGCGCCGCTTCCTCGTCATACCTGTGAACTTTCGCGGGGTCGGCGACGAGCCGGACGAGCACTTTCGGGGACTCGTGGCCCAGAGCGCCCATATGTTTGGGGCCGTGTACGGGGAGGCCGAAGGATTGCTTGCCGCGCTCGACAGCTTCCGCGTCAAGTGGCTGCCACTCGTCGCGCCCGCGAAAATCGATATCGGCCAGACGTACGTTTTGCCTTTTTTTTTTTTTTTTTTTTTTCTCCCTTTTGTGACAGCGAGAGTCTTGCACTTTTTAGACTGAAGGGCAAGCAGCCCCAGGACTGGGAGAAGGCCTTCAAGGACGCCAAGCAGTGGGCGCAAGAGGTAATCATTTTTCTCATTTTTTTTTTTTTTTTTTTTTTCCTTCAAATTCTCTTCCTTTTTATAATCATACTGCAATGATGTAGGTCGGCAAACTGAGGGCGAACGAAGTCAAGATATCCTGCGTGGTCGTCGACACGGGGACCATCAGAAACGACTTGGAGTCGCTGTCGCGCAGGTAAAAACCAAAAAGTACGCCCATATGTGGATTAGAGCAGTATATAACAATCGTCATCCTGTTTAACGCAAGGTACTGGGAACGCCTGTCGTTGGATCTGCGAGCGGAAGCGTCGTCCCGTCTGATCTCGATAGTGGACTTTCTGTCCTCGTCGTCGAAGAGACTGTCCCACCGGGCGCGAACCATCGAGGAGATCGGCGAGGCGTACGAGGCGTACTCGAGCATCCAGAAGCAGATGGACGAGGTGGCCCGTGAGCTGGAGGACGTGTCGGGTCTGGGTCGAGTACTGGCCGCTTGGACCAGGGAGAGGCTCGAGGGTCTGTCGAACGCCCACGCGAGCTGGGACGGGCTCAAGGAGCGCCTGGACAACTACCAGGGAGTCATGGTCCACCAGATGGAGGAGGCCAAGCTGAACTTGCGCCACCAGGTGTTGGCCGTGCACGACGAGCAGGAGCGGTGGAGGGCCAAGTGGGCCGCCAGGCCGTCTACGGTCACCAAGGACTGGATCGAGATGATGCGCGAAAAGTGGACCAACATAACCGAGCAGCGGGACATACTCGTGAACGACTGCAAGAGGCTGAGCCTCCCGGTCCAGGAGATCTTCGAGAGCGACGAGAACACGCTCGCCCAGATGGAGGCCGAGCTAGAGGCCGAGGAGCTGAACTGCAAGTTCCAAGGGGAGTTTATCGAGGAGCTGCAGAGGCACGAGGAAGAAGAGTGGGGCATCGCCAGGCGCCGGCTACCCAAGTTCCACGACTGGCTAGATTCGTGGCAGGACCGGGTCCAATTGCAGACCAAGGACCGGCAAGGGGAGGCCGAGGAGTTAGCCAGACGAGAGGCCCATTCGTTCATCGAGAAGAAGATAGCCGAGTTGAGGGAGGCGCTGGATCTCGTGCAGCTGCTCAGGGGGGACGACCTGGCCGATGAGCACTGGAGCGAGCTCAGGGACATTCTGGGGCTAAACGTCCGACGCACGGACGAGCTAACCTTGGGCCATCTACTGCGTAGCGCCGAATCCATTAAGACGAACCTCGAGAGGGTCAAGGTACAGGTCGTTGATCGGGATGAAAGTGCGTACAGGGCATTTAATCGTTACGCATTTGCAGGACGTGACGAAGCGAGCAGCTGCCGAAAGTGGCATCAGGCAGGCCTTGATGGAGCTAGAAGCCTGGGAGGGCTACACCTCCCTTCCCATCCAGGCGACGAGGGACAGCAAAAACGGGGGTATCTACGTGGTTGGGGACTACAGCGCGCTCCTGGCGAGAGCAGGTGAACGATCGTGGATGGGGGATTTTTTATACATATCTATACCTGCATCGCCAAAGCTATACATATTTGTTTGATTGAATGGTAAAGGAGAGCTGAGGCTGATAATGGACGGGGCGAGAGGTGCGGCGGGGTACGAGAGGTTCGCCTCGAGGGCCTCTAGATGCGAGGCCGCGCTTTACGAGCTGGAGGAACGCCTCAAAATACTGAGCATCGTGCAAAGGAAGTGGGTCTACTTGGACCCAGTGTACAATAGCGACGCCGCTCCGAACGACTCTGGCAGGTGGGGTCGAGCTGACAAGGAATTCAGGTACTTCATGGGAGAGATCGCCAGGGATCCCAAGATACCGTCTTTGAAAAAGCTACCGCTCCACGCGCTAACGAACCTCAGGGATCTGATGGATAGGTGTCAAAAAAGTTTGGACGACTTTTTGGAAGTGAGTACAGATTTTCGTTTCGACACAAATATCCATCAATCGACGAACTAATGGCTCGTATGCAGGAAAAGAGGTCCGCGTATCCACGATTGTACTTCCTGAGCGACGAGGATCTGCTCGAACTGGTGTCGGGAAAGGGCAAGGGACTCGACGCGCATCTGTCGAAGCTGTACCAGGGCCTGGGTGCCGTGGAAATATCGAAAAACTGCGTGACGAGCATCGTTTCACCGGAAGGCGAGAAGCTCGAGCTCCGCGACAGAGTCAGCCTCTCCGAGACCTTCCCCAAGTGGCTGCTCACGCTAGAGGAGGGCATCAGAAACACGCTGCAGCAGAGCCTCGGCTCTTGCCTGTCGCAGGAGATGCCGGAAGTTACATCCTTTCCAACCCAGACGCTCCTTCTGGCCGAGAGGATTCGCTTCACGGAGAAGTGCGAGGCTGCCATCGAGGACGAGTCCAAAGGCTTGAAGAACTTGCTGAACGCCCTCGAGAACCAGAGGGAGCTCTACAGGAGCTTGGAACAGTCGGGGGACGGGTTGACGTCGCTCAAGGCTAAGAATCTACTGCTGGAAACGGTCCACCACCTGCACGTCGTCCACAGTCTCGTCCAAGTTATCGGCGACAGGGAAAAGCTGGCCTGGTGCTGGAACCGACAGCTTCGGACGTACAGACGGGTCAGACGAAATGCCAATTTTGCCTTTGCAAAAAAGACACGAGGTTGTATAAAAGCAGTATTTTCCTCTTGAAACAGGGTAGTGGAGCTGTGGTGCGGTGCGCGAGGGCCGAGTTCCCGTACCGATTCGAGTACCAGGGCGGTGGGATCGGCCTGGTGAGGACCCCGCTGACGGAAAAGTGCTACCTTGCCCTGACGCAGGCCATGAAACTCGGGCTCGGTGGTAGTCCCACGGGCCCGGCCGGCACCGGCAAAACCGAAAGCGTCAAGGCCCTGGGGGGCATACTGGGCCGACGAGTGCTCGTCTTCAACTGCGACGAGGGAATGGACGCGGGCAGCATGCGCCGGATCCTGAGCGGCCTGGCCCAGGCCGGGGCTTGGGGCTGCTTCGACGAGTTCAACAGACTCGAGGAAGGCACCATGAGCGCTGTGTCCATGCTGATAAGGCCCCTACAGGAGGCAATCAGAGACGGCACCCCAAGGGCCAATCTTGGTGGCGTGGAGATCCCGGTGGACCCGCACTGCTGCCTCTTTGTCACGATGAACCCCGCCGGGGACGACTACGGCGGACGCCGGAAGCTCCCGGACTCACTGGCGAGGCTGTTCAGGCCGATCGGTATGGCCCATCCCAACAAGGCCAACATCGTGCAGTCTCTGCTCGAGTGCGCTGGGTTGATGAGCGCGCCCAAATTGGCCAACCAGCTGGTCGAAACTTTCGACACCGCCGAGAAGTTGCTGTCCAAACAGCCACACTACGACTGGGGACTCAGGGCCCTCAGGTCCGTGCTGAACGGGATCCCACCGTCGTCAGCTGGAAAGGACGACGAGTCTGGCGAGAGGGCTAGGTAACTTATCTGCCTATCTATATCGTGGGATTTGGTGACTGGCAAACGTGCCTTTTTTTTAAGGATGCTGGCGGCAATCAAAACGTCGACGATGCCCAAGTTGGTGGAAAACGATACGGCTACGTTCGTGTCGCTGTTGAACGACGTATTTTCCACCACGGATGCGTCCAAAGCCACGCATGAGACGAGAAAACTGGAATCAGTCCTCGCGAGCTTGTGCGAGGCGCAAGGGCTGCACGAAAGCCTGATCACGAGGTGCGTCCAGCTGAAGGATCAATTGCAGTCGAGGAGCGGGGTAGCCGTCGTTGGGCCCCCGGGTAGTGGGAAATCGTTGATTATCAAAACATTGGCGGACGCTACTCTCAAGACGGAGGAGGCGGTAAAGCTGTTCAACATATATCCGGGTGCCATTTCCAAGGCTCAGCTTCTCGGAGTTGTCGATGCCCAAACGAGGTAAGGGACTAAATGGGACGCAATTTTACTTGAAATTGCCTTGAGAACTGATCGATATGTGTGGTGGTCGGCATGTAATTGCAGAGAATTCAAAGAAGGTCTGCTGTCGAGTATAATATCAAACATGGGAAATGAGCCGGTCTGGATTATTTTGAACGGCGACGTGGAACCAGGTTGGGCTGAAGCCCTCAATTCCGCTCTGGACGACAACCGCATACTAACGCTGCCCAACGGCGTGGGTGTTAAACTCGGCAACGGAACACGGTTCTCTTGAAATTATCGATTTATCATTGTTAAAACCCCATCGTCTAGTTTGGGCTTGATTGAGAAATGAAATAAACATTATTTCCACGCAGATTCATCTTTGAGACGCACAAGTTGTCGAACGCGAGTCCAGCCACGGTCTCGCGACTGGGTATCATTCACCTCGGTGCCATGTCGCCAGCGACGCTTCTCAGTCCGAGGTTACTCAAAGATCTGCCGTCGAAATCCATGAGTTTCGCCACAGCTCACCTGTGCCCCGTGATAGAGCAGGTCTTGAAATTTAAAAAGGATCAGAAATCGGCATCGAGTCTACTTCGCGCGGCACTGATGCATCTCCAGGATTCCCAGTCCGAGGCTGGTTTTACGCACGCCTTGCTGGCTGCTCTGTGCGGCCAAATAGAGGATCCAGCCTCGCGAAACGACTTGGCTCGCACCGTATACCAGCTGACGAACACTTGGTGAGCAACTTTTTTGACAACTGGATAATTTGGATTTTCATTGGAACGTAAATGGCCGTTTCAGGTGTCCCGATTCCAACGACCCCTGCGACGTTCTGTACAACAAGAGCAAGGACGTCCTCGATCCTTTTACCATCGACACCAAAACGATGGAAACCGAAGACGGTCTTATCCACCTGTCGGGTGAGTCGATCTATTCGATTCTTTGGCAATTTTGGGCTAAATTTTATTACTTGCAGGGTCCATGCAAAGAGGCATAAGCGCCGCTCTACCTTGGACAACGCTCGGTCAGTCTGTTATATTCCGCGGGACGGAGGGTTGCGGGAAAAACGCCCTGCTGTCGGCGGTTCTGACATTGATCAAAAACCACTCGGATGAAACGACTCTGGTGGTCAAAGGATCTTCGGTTTACGGATCGAAGGATCTGATGGACCGGCTGAAACGGTCCTGCGTAAAACTGGACTCTTCCTCCGGTGGTAGGACTTATCGTCCCAAAAATGGATCCAATTTGATACTGGTCATCGAGGACTTGCACCTGGCGTCGAAGGATTTACAGGTAATTTTCACGTTTAACGTATATATGCCGATTATTAAATCCGACGCCGCACAGGAACTGACGCGTCAACTGATACAAGAGGGAGGATTTTACGAAAACGACGCGGAATTCGCCAAGGTGTCCCTAACGATCTTGAGCACAGGCGATTCGACGACCAAACTCCACCCGAGACTCGACTCGCTGCTGGCTTCGCACTACTTGACGTAAGCCGCCCCCCATCGTTTTTCGCCCAAAATTATATACTTTCTCGAATCAGCTGTGACAATATATGTTGTGTACTTTCAGACCCCTGCAGCCCAAAGATTTGGACGCGATAGTCGAACTACACCTCAAGGAGGCACTGAGCGACGATGCAACGGTGAGAGCTTGGATCGGCAGGATGTCCCCGAGCATCGTGGAAGCGTTCAACGAGATATCCACGGACAAGTCGACCGAAAAGTGGACACCGAGGGATCTGCTGCTGTGGACGGATTCCCTCAAGTACTACCCGAAGCCGGAAAGTGATTCCGACATCACGAGCTACCTTATAGACGCCTCTCGACGCGTCTTCGGACCAAAGTGAGTCATCGAGTAATATAGTCATTCCAACGACAAAGTGAAGGGTATATCCGTCCACCCTGTGAAACGTAGGTTGCACGACAAGCAGCAGAGACGCCTCGAGTCGATCGTGAATTCGCGCAACACCGGTAGACCAAGCACCAAGGACGGGTTTTACGTTTGGAAGGGCTCGCACGCCAGTCTGACCCTGCTGTCCGAGTCCCAGTGGAGGGGCGAGCTCGAGAGCGCGGTGACAAAGTGCATCCGCGAGGGTGACGATGGCATGTCGACGACCATACCGTCGTACCTGCTGGAAATCACGGCCGGCATCAGCTGGAACCTCGGCTGCGAGCAAAGGGGTGTACTGCTGAGGGGACGCCCGGGCGCCGGTCGCAAGACAGCCGTCAAGCTGGTCGCCGTGGCCTCCTCCCTACGGCTCGTTGACTCTGGACCTGGTAACTATAACCAACCACCACTGTCCAACGACGCAACATTACACGGGGATACTTATTTCCTAGGTAAGGGAAAAGCCGCGGTGAAGACTGCCGTACAAGCTGCTGGGGTAGACGGGGAGCCGACGATCCTGCTGCTCGAGGAGCACCACCTGCGCGACGAGGGCTTCGCCATCCTGGCCAGCGCGATAGTAGCCAGCGGCGAGCTGCCCGGTCTGTACGCCTCGGAGGAACTGAACACGCTCATGTCGCCCCTCGTCGAGCTGGCGGGCAAGGACGAGTTCTCCGGCAGCCTCGAGCAGTTCCTCTACCACCGTGGGTGAAAATATTTATACATACGATTAAATAAAAAGTACACATGTAAAATGAGCAAACAATTGTACAGGGATAAGGAAGTACCTGCGAGTGGTGTTGGTGCTCGACAGCAGTGACATGAAGTCGAGCTGGTTGTCGCGCTCGAACCTTCTCCGGCACTGCGTGCAAACGACGGGCCAGAGTCTCGGGAGCGAGTGGTGGCTCACCGAGGGATACCTCACCGAGTTGGCCAAGCTGTACGGGGACGACGAGGCGAAGGACGAGTTCTCCGGCATCACCGAGGTGGTCCAGGCGCAACTGAGCGCACCCACGGCACAACAGGCACCGGCGAGGTTTATCGCTCTGCTGCACAAGTGGAGGGAGCTACGGGGATGTTGGCTCGAGGACATAGTGGCCAAGCTGAAGAAACTACAGGCGGGGATCGATCGGCTGAAGGAGGCCGGCGACAGGGTCGCCAAACTCGAGGAGGACGTCACCAAGCAGCGCCGCGACCTCGAGGTACCATTGGATTATTTACACCCGAAAGTAGCAAGTACACCAAGTTGTTTGAAACAGGTCGAGAAGGGTCGGGCGAACGCCGCGCTGGAGCAAATAACGGCAACCATGCGGGGCGCAACGGGCCAGAGGGGCGAAATGACCAGCCTGAAATTGGAGACGGAAAAGGAGAGCGCGGAGCTGGCCCGTCGCAAGGTACGCACCCCGTAATAATAATAATAATAATAATAATAACCATCTCGGCAGATTCGCGTTCGTATAAATGGGCACACGTGTACGCAGAGGGACATAGAGGGCGAGCTGGGCAAGGTGGAGCCGCTGGTCGAGCAGGCGGCGCAGGCGGTCGCGGGCATAAGCGCCGAGGCGCTGTCGGAGGTGCGCTCGCTACGAGCCCCGCCCGCCCCCGTCCGCGACGTCCTCGAGGGCGTGCTCCGGCTGATGGGCATACGCGACACCTCCTGGAACAGCATGAAGACCTTCCTGGCGAAGCGCGGCGTCAAGGAGGAGATACGCAATTGGGACGCGAGGCGCAGCTCACCCGCGAGCCTCGAGGCCGTGGCCAAGCTCGTGGCCGACAGGGCCGACAGCTTCGAGGAGAGAACGGCCAAACGAGCGTCCCAGGCAGCCGCCCCGCTCGCGGCTTGGGTACTCGCCAATCTACAGTACGGCCAGATCCTGCAGCAGGTCGCGCCACTCGAGAGGGAACAACGCGTCCTGGCCGAGTGAGTTGCACGGCATCGATACTGATGAAAATAAAATGTCACGATGAATTGGACGCTTTGCAGCCGGCTGAGGGCGGCGGAGGCGCAGATCGGTAAGCTCGAGAGCGGCCTGACGAGCGTCGAGGGCAAAGTGGCCCGGCTGCAGGAGGAGCTGGCGGCGCACTCGAGGGGCGCGGCCGAACTGGGCCTGAGGACCGAGGCGACCGAGGCGAGCTTGGCGACGGCCCGCACCCTGTTGGGCAAGCTCGAGGCCGAGCACCGGGACTGGCAGACGCAGTTCCAAACGCTCACCGAGCGCAGGGACAAGCTCGGGGCGGACGCGGCCCTCGCGGCGTCGCTCCTCGTGTACCAGACTCACCCCGGGAGCAAGGAGGAGGAGGCGAGCCGCGGACGGGTGCTCGAGCTGCTGGCGAGCGAGCGGGACAGGCTGCAGTGGCGGGCCCAGGGCTTGCCGGCCGACACCGAGAGCCTCGTCGGGGCAACCCGGGCGATCCGGGGCGACCTGGTGGCCCTGTTCGTGGACCCGTCGGGGGTTGCGGTGGGCTGGCTGAGGGCCAACGTCGGTGGGACGCGGCTCGAGGTCACCCATCCCGGAGACGCGAGGTTCCTCACTAGCGTCGAGCTGGCCGTGAGGTTCGGCAAGCCCCTGCTCGTCGAGGAGGTGGTCGAGCTACCCACGGTGCTGCTGCCCCTGCTGAGGAGGGGCCGACTAAGACTCGGCGATCGCGGGTTAGCCGCCCAGAGGGGCTTCCAGCTGTTCCTGGCCACGAGACAGGAGAGCCTGCTGGACGCGCTGCCGAGCGAGGCGGACGCCGTCCTCGTCAAGATCAGCCTGGGCTCGGGGAGCAGGAGCCTCGCCGAGAGGCTCATCGACAAGGTATATTCAATGTCACGTTGCATTGGAGTAAAAAAAAAAAAAATACAAAAAAAACTGTCAATCGATGCGAATCGCAAAGTAAGTTTTTTAACAATTATTGGTCTATGGGCGCAGGCCATTCTGCAGGAGACCCCCGAGGTGGAGTCGCAGAGGCGGGAGGCGCTCGAGCGGGAGGAGCGGCTGTCGGGGGAGATGGAGGCAGCCCGGCTGGAGCTTCTGGTGCAGCTGGGGGCAGCGCGGGGCCAGGACGTCCTGCAGGAGGGCGGAGGTCTACTGTCCAGCCTCGAGCTCACGCAATCCAAGGCCAAGGAGATAGCCCGGGCCCTCGAGGACAGTAGGCGCGACCTCGAGGAAATCGGCAAACGAAGCCGGGAGCACGAGCGCCTCGCCAAGTTCGCCGCCATCCTCAACAGGTTCGTCGGGGCCTTTGCCTCGCTCAGCTCGCTCTACGTATTCACGGCCGAGACCATCGCTGATATTTTCCTCGAGGTCGAGAGGATGCGGCCGAGCTTGCGGGCATCCGGCCGGGACGACCGTGATAAGACCCTCGAGAAGGCGTAAGCTGCAACGATTTTTCAACCCACCGAACGGAGCGCGTTTTTTTACCCTCCGCGGCGCGTTTCAGCGTGACGACTCTGACCCTCCATCACTGCACGAGGGCGGCGTACAGAAAACACCGACTGCCCATGGCGTTGCACCTCGCCCTGTCTCTCGGTTCCGTGCCGGACGAGCACAGGAACCTCCTCCTGAGCGGTGGGGACGCGTACCCCGGGAATACGGAATTTGCTCTGCCGAGTTACATACAGCCGGAACAAAAGCCCTCCGTGAGGAGTCTTTTCGCCGCCGTGCCCGAGGCTAGTACCATGATAATCCATTGTACTTGCAAATACCCCTTACTGTAATAAATTTGTCACAGATGGCGAGGAAGATCAAGGCCAACTGGATGAACGGCACGGTCAACATTTACGGCGACGAGGGACTGAGCTCCTTCGAGAAGCTCCTGGTCGTCCAAGCCCTGCACCCCGAGCACTTGCACACCGCGCTGTCAAAGTGGGCAGCCCAAGTGATCGGTACGACATTTTTGTCTACTTGGATGAGGGGAAAGAAAAAAAAAAATTAATAAATGGCTTTTGAACGTGTCAGGAGTGCGAAACCTGTCACCGCCCGCTTGGACGCTCAAACAAGTTGCCGAAGAGAGCGAGAGCCGGCCCGTGCTATTGCTGCTATCCCCGGGCGCCGATCCAGAACCCGAGCTCCGGAGTTTGGTAGCCAACCACGTCGTGCCAGCTACCGGCTTCGCGGAGGTCTCGTTGGGCCAAGGCCACGTGGCGCAGGCCGAATCTGCCCTCGAGGCCGCTTGCAAGTAAGGAGTTGAAAAAGAGAGACTGGAGCGAACCGCTATTTGATACATGTATGAAGGCAGGGAAGCTGGATACTGCTGAGCAATCTTCAATTGGCGCTCAACTGGCTGCCGCGTCTCGAGGCGCTGCTGCGCTCGCCGACCTGTGCGGCGCACAAGAGCCCCGGCACCCGGATTTGGCTGACCACCGAGGAGTGCTCGGGTTTTTACCCCGGGCTGTCGGGCCTCTGCCTCAAAGTGGCCTACGAGCCGCCCGAGGGCGTCAAGCGCAACGTCAAACGGTCGCTCCTGCAGCTGCAACAACGGCAGCCCACCATACAGGACTCGGGCAAGGCTCTACTGATAGCTTGGCTGCACGCGGTACTCCAGGAGAGACGAAAGTATACATATATACACGAGCCACCACTTCCCAATGTTTGCAAATCATCGCTTTGATTAAAAACTATTTGCAAAGGTTCGTGCCCCAAGGCTGGATAAAAGCGTACGCCTGGAGCGAAGGGGACCTCGAGGCGGCCTGCGAGCTCGTCGTCAAGAAAGCCCCCTCGTCGTCGTCCGCGCGCAAGTCCAGGGAAGACTGGGAGTCGGACCGGGGGATCCTCGACGTGGCGGTCTACGGTGGCCTCTTGCAGGACGAGCACGACATGCGCGCGCTGCGAGCATTGCTGAAGCACGTGTGGTCCAGGGACACGTACACGGGCCGTCGCAAGCTCGGGGGCACTCTGAGCGTGCCCAAGGCAGACTCGGAGGGCCCGATCGCCATGGTCGACAAGCTCGAGGACGCCGACGCCGTCCAGGTTTACTTCGGGCTGCCCGCCAACGCCCACCGCGCTTGGGAAAAATCCGCCGCCGAGTCCACTCTGCGCCACTTGAACGGTACATATATATATATACAGCAGCGCCCTAATACGATCCAACGAAACGACTCGGCAATGATATATACATATATACATGTGGTTCAGAGATCGCGAGGAGGCACGGGAAAGCCGCGAAAAACCATCCGGACGGTAAGGCGTCCCTGGTATCGAGGACCCTCAAGGAGCTGAAACAAGCCGTGGACCGGCAGCGAGTCGATCGCTCGGCCACCAGCAAAGACACTCGGCAGGAGAGCGATCCGCTGCAGAGGTTCTTCAACGACGAGGCAAACACCACGAGGCAGTTGTTGCAGCTTGTCCGCTCGGACCTGGACGGCCGACGTACCTGGGAGGATCCGAAGGTATAATCATTCGTGCCCTTTTTACCCCATGACATCGGGAAAAAAAAAAAAAACCCTTTTATTCTCTATAGACTCCAGCGGCGTGGCTGTCCAAGTGGCACTCGGGTCCTCGAGAGGTCGTTCCGTTCGTGAACCAGTTGATGGCGAGACACGAGTCGCTGACATCGATAACGGCAGGTGGTCGGCCGCCGGGAGTCCAGTTGTCCTGGTTCGCCCGTCCCGACGCTTTCCTATCCGCCTTCAAGCAGTACACGGCACGGGAAACGGGACGGGCGTTCGAGAGACTCCGTCTGCGCGCCCAGTGGTCGGAGGATTACAATAAAGACGGAAATTGGAAAACCTCCATCTTCATCGAGGGCCTTTTGCTGACAGGTTGGTGAATGCGTACTGGCGCGTCATGGGTATACGAGCGTCACTCGGCTTTGTGCTGGTTTGTCCGTAGGGGCGAGAATAGAGAACGGCGTGCTCGAGGAGGTGACGGCGAGCGCGAGCTCAGTGGTCACGGCTCCGGTGTGCCTGATTGCTTTTATCGAGGAGGACGGTGGTGAGTATCGCGAGGAATCGAGCGAGTGGGGTGACGTTGAGCTGACGAGCGAGCTCAGCGCTCTGCAGGTGCCCGTTTACACGGACTCGTCCAGGAGCCGGCTGGTTTGCTCGCTTCCGGTGCCTTACGTCAGGGAAAAGAGGAACGCGTGGTACCAGCGAGGCATCAGCTTCCACCTACGGACCAATTAGTTTTCACGCCAATTTTGTGTTTTTTCACGACGATCATTGAATCTTTGGATTTTACGAATAAAAAATATTTTGCACCAACTGAAATGAGCCCTAAGGATATTGATTGAGGAAGGGGATATTCTCACATCGTATAACAAAACAAGAGGTAATGTGCTGTAGTAAAGTGCTTTATTTTCGGAAAATAATAAACACTATAGAGGTGAATCGTTTTATCTTTGCTTTCGAGGAAAATATATAGCGATTTCATTACGTGATTGCATAACAAGTTCGTACATCTCATCGTGTGTGTTCAATGACCTTGCACATCTTGGTAAGGATGATTATTTTTCTCACATTCGGACCACGGTTTGTTTTTTTCGTTTTAAAATTCAATCGTGTATTAAAATAGACGCAGTTGCACATTAGGTATACGCGAGATCGCTCAATTGTACGAAATTTTATTTCAACGCCATCTGATGCTCACCGAGATGTGCTGACTTTAATGATATCATATTCATGTAGGATCATCACCATATATGTGTGTGAAACCCAACGATTCCTTTTCTCCTATATACTTATTGGTCCTGTCTCGCTGTCACACATACACCTCTCGCATAGATATGACAATCTTAATAAAGTAATTTCCACTGGAAAAACAGACTCGAGTTCTAAAATGTTAAGAATAAAGATTTTCAATTGACCTTTCGCTTTAACTGACAGTCAACGTATTTCTTTCTACTTCACACTGATACACTGTACAAGTCCTACTTTGCGGTATTTCATTCGTTTTTTTTTTTGTTTTTTTTTGTTTTTGTTTTTTTTAATATTAAAATAACCAGTTTCGTATAACAATGATGATTGTAACAACGTTGTAGATTGTACACAATATTATTATTTGCTCTGTCAAATTAAAAATATTTCCAAGGAGCCACGAACGCATAACGTACACGGGTGTTTAAATAAAATACGACGAAACCATTAACAATACCAAATTACGTTAGAATCGATCTATCGTTCTATACAACAGTTCTGGAAGGCTGTGTATATAAGTTAGCACCAGACTCTACGTCGTGTGATTAAAGTCACTCTTCGTTGTATATATTCCGCGAACAAGCACATGCTACTAGAATATATTGATTATTGTACAATATTATTTTGTAAACACATTCGATTGACAATGATGATTAAATGAATTTACAAAGCAGCGTATTTTGCAAGTATTTATGCACAAGCGGCCCCTTAAAGTTGAAACATTTTTTTGGTTTTACGCTCTAAACCTCGGACAAAAAAAAACTTAAAATGTTCAATTAACTGCTTAATGCTGGTAAAATTTTTATATACGCAGTTTATAATTTTTAATAGTGCAGCTGACTAGTCGAATCGTGACTCTGAACTTATTCGTATGAAGGTAAACGGCGTGGAACGTCGTAGATAACAATACGAGACAGGATGGAAGGATACGTAATTATTAAGGTAAACAAATCGTAGTACAGATTAGGTTGCACAGCTTACTGCGGAAGTAATGTTATTCAAAGGGAAAAGAAGGAATTTTTACAAAAGGATGCCAAACGTGGAAGAACAAAGATTCCGTAAGGAAACAGATCCTCTGACAGAGTTAATTTTTTTAAACATATTTTATCATTTTCTTCTTTCACCAGCAATATCTAACTCTATACAAATGACCTTTGATCGATACGTATGTACATGAGGAATTTCTTAAAAAATTTCGTTACGAATGGTAATATTTTGAATAAAAATGATAACTTTACAATATTCAATAACAAATGATTCGTATTTTTTAAAAATTGTATATAGTACATAACAACAGCTATAATAATAAAATTCCTTACAGAAAATACAACAGCTTGTGTCAAAGTTTTTTTAGTAAGACCTACACAGAAGATTCATATCAGAACTATATTATATACGTGGATAAATATCTCAGCGCATTTAGTGTTCGATACTTTACTAGTTGTTCATCATTTAATACTTTGGTGTTTGTTCATTAATGTGTCATGTAGAAATTATTATTTTTTTATACAATTTTACAGGAACTCGCTCCATCTACTAAAGTATCAACTTTAGTCACAAACATGCATATCTACGTTTTCAAATGTTCACAACCTTACTCACAAGCTTACAAATTTATTATCTCAAGAAGATTTTTGTTTTTTTGATTCTGAGCGAGTTCTACTTTTATATTCAAGGATAACATAAATATAAGTATCACAGTGGATGTCAAGTAGTTAGCGACGACAAAAAAATAAAAATTTGAGAGTCACTTCTACACTTACTCACTAATATTATAGTAATAACGTGTTATTCAAGAAAAAACTTTTTAATAACATTTAATAGTGACCTACACATGATTAAATGTACATGTGAAAAATTTAATATCCTAAAATTTACTTGAAAAACTACGATTTCATAACATTCTTTATATTAAAAACAAATTTTTTGTAAACAATTTAAGCTAATACGATTTTTAAGGTAATAACAAACGAAGAAAACAAAATAAAGTAACAAACAAAGGGACGCAACAACAAATACTTGTTTTTTTCTCTGTTATTCAAAGGTTTGATTCAAACCTCCTTTTTCAGCAAATATCTCTTCCACAATCACAAAAACAAATTGAAAAAGTTTTATAATTATAACTTTAATATTTTCAATTTTTTTTCTATAATGCATAATTTTTCAGTTTCCTTAATTTATATTTAAAATTTATAGAACGGATTAATTAAAAAAATTATTTTTCTAATGCCTCGAGTGTAGTACTCTATTGATGTACGAGTAATGCACAAGTTTGAGCGGTTAATAAACCTTTACACAATCATCATATCAATTTTAAATTAAAAAATTGGATATAAGGTATACTCCTTCAATTTTTATTTGTAATTTAAGGAGATATGAAAGTTATTGATTCGCATTAAATTTATTATGTTATTCTAAAAAATAGTTTTTTTTTAGTTTTGCAATATTTTACAAATTTTGCAAAGTCGATTGTCTTTGAATGAGGCTGACTTACGAAAATGACAATAGTGTTTGATTTTTTTAATTGATCAAACTGTTAGATTAATTACAATTTTCGAATCTTACCGTATTAAAATACTTTCACATCTCTTTAATCTTCATACTTGACAAATGATGTAAAAAAGAGTTGGAAAAGCACAATTGTTATTTTTTTTTTTTTTTTTTTTGTGGGATTAACATTAAACAATTCAATTTAGAAGTATTCTGATTCATGTCTGATTGAATGTATTGTAGTTTTTAATAAAATTGAAATAACTAATTGCTGATATGCAAACTCGTGTAAATAGCTAAATATCCCTCGTACATCAAAAAAACACTTTAATTTTTCAAAAATCAACGATAGACTAGATAAAAAATTGAGAAACGTGAGAATCCGGCCTACGTGTATACCTCGTTCATGATTGTCCTGATTTATTGCTCTAAAAAGTAAAAGAAAAAACGCACAGGCCGCCGAACTCCAATATCTCTCAAGAGAAAGGCAATGTTGTGTTATTATTATTATTATTTTTTTTTTCTTTCTTATTTTTATTTAATAAGTAGTAGTAATCTTGTGGTTAGGCTATCCAGTTCAAAACTCTCTTTAACGATGTACGGTACTGTTTTGTTTCTACATTATTCAAAATTTAACAATATTTAGTCACTGTTGTTAATCTAAATATGCAGAATAACCTCGTGTAGTTCGTACTCTAAACGCGAGCGCAATAATTACTTAATCTAAAAGTGACTTTTATTCCTAAATGTTCAAACTTACACTGGTAATTTAGGGAACGAGATTTATGCTTATATGTACGAAATATTTGGATGTATCCAATTCATTTGTGTACATACGTGTGTGATGGTAATATATATCTTATATTACTTGAGACCGCTTTTTCGATATGCTTTGTTTTTACTGACAACTCATCTGGTTGATAACCAACCGACATTTGATTTATCTAATTTTTAGTTATAAACGTTTTTTTCTTTTTTTTCTTTTTTTTTTTTTTTTTTTTTTTTTAATCGTTTGTTCATTTGTTTATCTGCAAATCTGGACCCAATAAGACGTTATTTGTAAAAGTATTTAGTCTAAACATATACATATTAAAAATTACAACTTTCAAATCTCAATTCTGCTACATAACTTTGACAAGATCAACTTAAAGTTTAGGGTAAACGGTTGCAAACGAAAGGATTTGTAACTTTTAACGTGACAGTTAAAAAAAAAAATTATAAGAGTATGTCATTGAGACATGTTATTAAATAAAATATATACTTCCTTTGGACTAGTATCGCAGCTATGGCTAATTTACTTAAAAAATAAATATTTCCGTAAGTGCTCGAGTTTACGTTATTTATATATACGTACTTAGACATGCGCGTAATATATAATCTGCTGAAACTCTAATTTAATTAACCGTATAGTCGAAGAAGCATGACGATCAGACAGTCAGCTTTTTTCCATCATGCATGATAAAAATTATAATTCATAAAATTTTGCTAGTTGCATGAAGTAGTAGTTTTCGACACACGAGCGCCATCGATGCAGGGGCTATACCTGAACCCTAGGGACTATTGGATAGCCCCCGTTGGATGGCGCTTACGTGGAAAATCCTGTTTTTCCTGCCAAGGACGCGACAATCGTTCAAAGGTCGCGGATAATGTACGAGGTAGGGCAAACTTTTTTAAATATTTGTAAAAAAATGTTCAACTTGCATGAGCTACAAAAAACACGATTTTAAATTCACATTTTGATTTTTATCAATATAAGTAACCTAACTATTTCGGAACACCTTCCACAGTGTTTTAACATTAAATTTACAGTTAAAATTTTTTTTCTTAAAGGGAATAGTTTCATTGTTCGGCATTGTTCTTTCGGCATGTATAGTAAAGGCATTTGAGATTTAAAAAAATCGTCGATATAGGTATTAATTCAAAATTCATCCCTTGATTTTTGGGATGTAATATACAACGTAAATTTAGTTACCAAATAACAAGACTCTTTCATGCAAGGTAATTTATCGAAACAATTTAGTATGTAATCGGTTAAGAAATCATGCAGATAATACATCATTTATCTCAAGGTGATAAATTACATTGCTTCGAGGATATATTTATTACATATTTGACGTGAAAAACCAAACTCCCGTCTTAAAAATACCTCTACCTCAAAGTAATTCTTGTGAAATTTAAACGTGTATATTGAATTAAAAAATGGTCCGTGGTTGTGGCTTTATACGTGCATACAATATATATATATAGAAGAAAAACTTACGGAAAAATATACTTATATAGTATTTGCATTAGCAAAATATTCCCACTGTGAGGCGAATGATCATGTTTTCAAAACAAACATGGTTTTCTGGTCAAATATTTTACTTCTTGAGACACACAAAAGTTTCATAAATGTAATTTACTTACATTTAGACTAAACAATTTACTTGAAAAGTTTTCCGGCTTTCTTACGTACCACGAATGGTTTCGTGATAATATCACATTTACTCCAACTTTTTTTCATGCAAATTAAGAAAATGCTTAGTTCGTTTATCACAAAATTATCCAATGGTCAACGTTTATCGCTAAAAATTATTAATCCCCAATCATCGTTATCATCATCATTAAAGTGTAATTCAAAACGTACGTACACCTGTTGACTCGCGAGTTTTCTTGGATATTTTACATCCATTTTACCCTCGTTTCGTGACAAATCTCATGCTTCTATAATAATTAAGATTAGTGACACATAAAAATTAATAGTAGTGGAAGGATGGCTGTTTATATATTTATACATCATTTTGTCATTCAGCCATACACACCAGCCGTGCAGCTCGACCAGAAAATATAATCTTAGTATGGACTGAACCAGAATTTCATTCGTCATAGTTATTTTTTTTCGTAGTCGAAATACGTAAGATTAACATTATTTGTAATTATCATGTATATAACAATAGCAGTACAATAGTAATAGTTGCGATAGACCGCTGCTAATAGCTAATTGGTGTTCGTACGTTGATCCCTCCTTTACAAATTGGTACTGGATAAATACCTGTGTGTTTTTATTTTTCCCATAAATCTTTCCTTCTTTTTTTTTTTTTTTCATGAATAAGACATTCATATGTATATTTGAACGATAATGTTCGTCAAATAAAAAAATAATTACTCTCTTTGTTATTAGCCCACTGCAATGCTCGATTTTTCTTCTCCTCGGTTTAAGAAATTTATACAAGTTGACTTAGAAAAATCTTGGCAATAATCCATCTCTTCAAATTTATTTTCTAACTTTTTTTTTTTAATTAAACCTACACCATTGGATTTTTACCTATCCCCGTATATTTATGTAATTCATTAGTGATGTGTCTTTTTGGATTGGTACGGAACATCTATATATAATAAAGTGTCAGTAGGCTAAGCCGTACAACCGTAAAGGAATTCTTAAATACGACTACAGTAGTACCATAGTAAATACGAATGTGTATATCTTTAAAGTCGTTTTACGTTTTTATTTTTAATTGATTTTTTTTTAATATTAAATCTGTTCCCTTACGCCTATAGCCACGCACTTTCTTTCGGCTCGCTACGCTATGTCGTACGTGAGATTTTTTTTTTTTGTAATTTTTATAATTTTTTTTATTCGTTTTAACGAAGTCTTATATGAACGTATCGACAAGACGTTTAAGATTTTTTATTCTTTTTTTTTTTTTTTTTCAATGTACGTATGTAAACGTTTAAGAAATTTTGGTAGTTCGAGAGGAGATTGTTAAAATCCGCTTTGTAAAATTGATAATCATATTATATGATAATAATAATTGGTTCTATACATCGATACTCAGGAATTTTTCTTCTCGGGCAATTCGTTTTCTAGACCAACATTTCTGAAATTCACACCCTTAAACATTAGGTAAATATTGTATTTTTGCTTCCTCGTTAATTTACAATGTATATGTATATAATACTTTTGTTACTTGATATTCGATTTCTACGTGAATATGCTAAAAATATATCGTTAATTTTTTAAATCCCTTAATTTTATTCTCGGTCCTACGCCCTCGTCGCTTTCGTATTTACCGAACGGCAACGCGAGTCGCGTAATGATCCTTGACTACGACGACAACGGCATTCTTGGATAATCTTGGATTATACGCTGATTCCGCGCTATTCTCGTTTTTATCGCCTTAAAGCCGCTAGAAAGTACATGTATATAAGGTCAAGGCTCTTGATTTTCTCCTCCAGACCGTAAATGCGTGGGAGTGTGTGTGCAGGGTGTTTCCGTCGCGTCCCCTTTACGTACACGTTCACGAAATCATGGCATGTTGTTCATGTCCTCTGTTACTAGTTGAAACTGTTCTTGGCCTACGTAAAAACGTTTTTTTTTCTCTCATTTTTTCTTTATCAATCAACTACGACTAATTAAAAATAAATTTTTCTACGCAACGAAGCACTGCGGTCAAGACAAAAGAGCGGAAACACTCAATAACAAAAGCGGTAATGCATAAATACAACGTATACAAATGTCCGACTGATGGAGTATAGCGAATATCGTCAAGCAGCGATGAGACGGAAAAACATGTATATATTTCACCGATCACGTGCCTCATTCATCATCGGAAGCGTCTATTTCGAGACTATATTCTCGAGTGGGCACTGCACATGATATACCCAAGCACCCACTCCGGGATGCAAATTTCGAGGCTTGCATGCATTTCGCCCGAGGGTGCACTAGTACACGTATAATACAGCTCAGCCGGCTGTAGGCCGAGGCAAGCAATCAAAGTGCAAATCAAACAAAATGAAAGATGCATGTTTCTGGAATGAAGGATGAAAGAAAAGGAAAAAAGCCAGGGGTGAAGGATACAAAAAGCACACGTATAGATACGTGTTTGTGCATCGCACACATTCAGGTGGTGGAAAAAAAAAGGGGAAACGAAGAGCAAAGACTACATGCGTATGGACTCACTGTGAAGGTAAGCGGCGAGTTCGCGATCCTCGGCCGCAAGGGCGAGATCCCGCGGGGTGTTCCCCTGGCGGTCGCGAACCGTGAGGTTGGCTCCGCCGGCCACCAGCATGCAGCAGATCGATCGGCGCTTCTGTTGCGCCGCTTTGTGGAGTGCCGTCTGACCCCTGCGGGGCAGAACAACGCGCTACACTGTATATACCTGTATACGCGCAACTGTACTTCCCATTCAGAGACGCAGGCACTGTATATATACATATACCACCGAATTTTAATCGGGAAACAATAACCGCGAGCCAACCGTGTGTGTCCATTGTACCCCGTGACCCTCGGCCGTGTGTATACGAGGGGGAGGATATCGCTCGAGCTACAGTAATTATTGTGCTCGGGAAATGTAAAAAAAAAAAAAAAAATTTTCTCTACTATACTCCGCCCATCGTCGCTCTGCCTCCGGGGAACGTGTTTTAAACGCGTGGGCGTACGTTAATTAATAGCAAATACACGCGCACAATCCTACGTGTATACATATAGTACACATACGTGAAACTATATACGCGTGTGTTTGATAATGCAGAGCGCACCATTGCCCGCGGCGCATTTTCAATTCCAAGAGCCTTTGTTTCATTTTTTTCCCTTTTTTTTTTTTTTTTTTCTTTTTTTTGCGTTCGGGTATACGTTTCCATCAGCCGCGTTGCGTCACTACATTATACATCGAATATTCGTCCACCCCGTTCGAAAGAATCTAGGGCACTCGTGAATTTTCTTCTTTTTTTTTTTTTTTTTCTCCTCCTTCCCCCCTGCTTTTTTTTGTCTCGGCTAAATTATTAACGATGGGCGTGGATACATTATGGATGGTGCAATCCATCACGATTAAGCGGCGTCGTCTGCTCCGTATCTCTTTTTCGCTCACTTACAAGTAATGTCCCGTAATTTATGGAGCCTCTTTTTCCCGCCCATCTGGTTTATCCGCGTTGTTTCCACCGATACGCGTAGGTGTATACGCACTTTTCACGGTATTGAGGTACATCAGCCACGGAGAGCTGTACATTTATGTATTTACAGATAGCCCCCCGCCCCGTTTTATCAGCGACAAAAGCTCGAGTCACCGACACTTGTGGAAAATTCCACCAGTCATTTCCTCCGAAAATACATTTTATGATAAATAACCCACAAAGAGAGAGGGGCTAGGGACACTCACTTGTCGTTATCGACCATGTTGAGGATCGTCGGTGGGGCACAGGCGATGAGGTAGCGCACAATGTCCTTGCAGCCCGTGCGCGAGGCTACATGGAGGGCGGTCTGGCCGGTGGCGTCGATCGACAGTAGGGAGTATCCCCGCTCGTGGAGGGCCTTCAGGCCGACGAGGTCGCCGACCTTGGCTGCCCGCAATACGTCGTCCGACGTGCGCTCCAGCAGCTCCGTGTGGAACGTGAGCACCTCGGGGCCCAATCCGAACAATCGCTCTTGGGGGCTGCAAATTGTCGCAAACGAAACGCCATTGGGTCATCGGTGTAAGCTCCTTCGGGACATAAACTATATTGAATGTACTCGGAGAATCAATCAACCGATCGATCGGCAGTTGGAAAAAAAAAAGAGAGAAAATACACTTGTTCACGGGTTCGTAATTCAATTCTTCGGGGTAACATTTGTTTGGGGGTACGGCGAGGTATGACGTTTGCTGTCGCACTAAATTTGTCAAATTAATTTAACCCGGTCCAATTTCGTCGAGCTCGAATCATTAGCGCGCCAAAGAGAGTGGGGGGGGGCATACGAGTGCGCGTTATTATGAACTAAACTTTTTCTCCCCCTCCTTCGCTCTCCATCTCTCGTTAATTAGATTTTCACCCCGACGCGGCTGCAAAAGAAGCGATTTGTCGAACCGTGTGTTGGCATGTACATCTATTTCCGATTCCATAAATATTATTCTCGAAATGTAGCGCGGGTGAGGGGGCGTGTCCCATTGTGTACGGGAAAGCTGCTTCCGTTCCACCTCGGCCCGGAGACTCTAAAAATAGCACTCGAGAGCCGAACACCGCGGAGCGAGAGAATCGTGTCGCGTACTCTCCAACATCACAAGTGCCTCCCACCCGCCCCTCGATCGCGACCGCGGATCCACTTACGTACGTGTACACAAGTGCACTACTACGTACACGTCTCCGCGTTCAATCATTATTCTGATGTGTCAATCATTATTCTTCTCAAAATCCCCGGTAACCCTGTGTACTCCATTTTACGAACATGTATAACAACACAATTTTAACAAATACATTGTAAATCCATGCCTGTTAAATTACACGTTTAAAGTGTATAACACTAATTTTTTTTTTTTTTTTTTTAATTTTAATACATCGTGGTGGAGTGAATGATAATTTGAAGGACAAACACATCCAAAACTTGTTTGTCACAGATTTAACAAGCTCACAAGTGTGTGGCAGAAATGTTTTACTCTCTACAGCCTTCTTATATGTCAATCGTTGAAGAAAAACAATAGTTGAGTTAAGTGGAATACTTACAGGTGAAATAGTTTATATTTTATAAAAAGAGGAATTTCGATTATACACGCTTTAAACGTGTACTTTAAGACGCTTGGATTTAACAGTGACATTAAAAAAAAAAAAAAAAAAAAAAAAAAAACCAGCTTAAAGCTTAATTTGTGGGCGTACCTTATGAAGATTGGTTGGTTCTTGTGGTGGTGCGCGTGTCCAGCACCGCCGTAGGGCGCGTTGGACTTTGACGAGGATTGCTTGGAGGTACCGCCCCGCAGGTTGTGGTTGTTGGTCATCCTGGGGTCCTCTTCGTTGGCGCGCGCGTCCGACCTCCGGCTGTGCCGACTACCACCCGAGGGATGCCTCGACTTGGCCGGCGCCGAGCCCTCCCTCGACACGTGCTGCGAGCGATGGTGTTGCTCACCGGTGTCGCGGGGCGAGCGCTCCCTACTACCTCGATTGCTGCCGTGGTTTTTGCTGCTGCTGCTGCTGCTGTTGTTGATGGTGGTGGTGGTGTTGTTGTCGCCCGAACGAGCTGACTCGTTGCGCGATTTGCTTCGGTCGGCCTTGCGCCGGTCTTCTCTTGAATTCCACAGGAGTTTTTAGAGGGGACTCTTCGTCACAGGGAACTCGTGTTGCGGGACTTTTACGGTCTACCAAGGGACGGTGGGTGGATACGAGAGAGAGAGGGACAAACAACAACAAAGCTTCGTTTAGCGTCTTTTTTTCCATCGTCGCACACGCACTCTCACCGGCACTCACTCTCTCACACACGTGTGCATGCATCGCGTGGCTCTTACAAAGATCTAGCCATATGTTACTTTTGAAAAAAAAAAAAAAGTTACAACTAGCCAGTGCTACGCGTGTTGATAAATGTATGTATATAAATACACTTGGTGTGCAGCGTACCTCGTGGACCCGTGGTTGTCGGCCTGCGAGCTGGGCAGCGGGTTCTCGTGGAGGAGGTAGATCGCGTCGCTCACGACGTCCGCGACGTAGTGCAGCTGCTCCTGCGCCCTATCGATCCGAAAGAAGCGCTCGGCCGTGCAAGCTGCGAGGAGGGGGGGGGGCAAAACAAAAACCTCATCACTCTTGGTACGATGTAGAATAAATTGAGGTTTAAAAAAGGGAGGGAGGCTCACAGTCGAGGAAGCAGCAGGTGTCCATGGGGTAGTCCTTGGCGAGCATCTTCCTGAGGGACTCGAGGTCCATGGCAGCGTCGAGGTCGAGGGGCTCCTGCATCCATAGGGTCGCCGTTTTCACGAGCCTCTCCCTGTCCGAGTGGTAGTTCTCGTAGTCGGGCATTTTTATCCTCATGAGCGGTATCTTGAGCTTTTCGGGCTCGGCGGTCTTCTGGTGCTTCCTCGGCCGGCTGAAGCCCCGGCGCTTCGCCAGCATCGTCGCCTTGTTCAGTAGGCTCAAGGTTATCACCGAGGGCAGCAGCCGGCACGCCTCCCCGTCCACCTGCGCATTCATCGGCCACACTTTTTAATAAATCGCTACACATATCTGCAAACGTTTTTTTTTTTTTTTTTTTTTTTTTTTTTTTTTTCTAACTGCCCCGCCTCCTTCTTTGCTTTGACAGTCCATTAGCGGGGGGCGGGCTTTTCGTCCCTTTACGGCCGTCGCGATTATCACTTCCAGGATTATTTTTATGATGTAAAGTGGAGGTGGCTCGGAATAACCCGATTCGATCGCGCTGCATTAAAAGTGATTTCTTCATTTTCGCCTCCCCCGTTCCGGGATTACGCGAGGGTGATTTACGACCCCGGGAGATTTTTTTTAAAGTCTATCTCGGCGATGAGGGCCGCGTCTACCCGGAGTAATGAATCATGCAGAATCGCGATGAAAACTTTTTTGCGAGCGAAAGACGATGAATAAAAGAAAAAAAGAAGCTGCGACAGGAGTGAGTTACAGTGGAACGAGCTTTTATTTAAAAAAAAAAAAAAAAAAAGTCCTTCCTGCTCGACACGCTTGTAGGTGTGGGAATTTAATATCCGAGCTGTGCAGGTTCGAGCTTTGATTTGCGATCGGTGGGACGGGGAAAGATTGTGCATATTAATATGTAAAAAAGCGCGAGGGAATTGCGACCTGCCGAATAAAATTCTAGGGGACAGCTGTGGCGGGGGCGAAGAGGGAATTGAGGGGCTGTTTGGGCTGAGCAACAATTTATCCGGCGACGATGAAAATTTCGTGCAAATTGCTATAATAACGGTTCAATGGAAAATTAATACAATTTACCGAGAAATTCTCGAGCGTTTTTGAAATTTCATTATATTTTGTTATTTAACGAACATACTTTCACGAAATTTCGATGGTATGTACATTATTTATATTTACGGTACCTCGTATAATTAAAAAATAGATAAAATATAATAATTAATGTCGTTAAAGTAAGTATGAAAGCAGTTGATGCATGTTAAATAATAAAAGTTTCAACGAAAAATCAAAGATAAGTGGTAATAATACAAGTTTTTTTTTCAGCTAATTTTAACGCCACCTCTTGATTTTCAGAGTATTTGGTTATCGCCATATCAGGCTCGTGCAGCATGCTATACTCTATTCAATTTCCTACCCTATCTTTATGGACACCGATACGATATGCATTTTTCCAACCATTCTAGGTCATGAAAAGTTTTTTTTAAATCATGCAATGTATTTTCTCTCTATTACCGTAATTTCCTCCAAAAGCGTCTCAATTTAAGTTGATTGGGTATCGATCGTTATATGGATGAGATATTTCCTCTCTGGCGTAATTGTGTTAAAATAAGCGGAACTAATTTTATATTATTTCAACTTTGGTTCCGAGAGGCAAAGTTACACCAAATTCTCGATATAACATTTATTATTTTGGACCCGAAAAAAAAAAAAAAAAAAAAAACAGAGCCACGCACCTGCATGGGTATGGTCTTGGTGGTGACGATCTTGGCCGAGCTGCACTGGGCGAGGCTGGTCCCGTGGCCCCCGGCCTGCAGAAGAGGCAGTTGATACGTGGTCAAACCGACGACCTCGATGAGACTGTCCTCGGTCGTGGGTGTCTGGCCGATACCACCGCCCCACGGATGGGTCCCACCGCCGTACGAGTCGATGTTCAAGAAAAGAATGGCGTGCACCCGGTGCTCCTTCAGCTTCGACGTCAGATCGTTGCCGTCGCACTCGAGGGTCACGTACTCCGAAAGGTCCTTCCACCTGCGTATCACTAGATCCTTGCCGCCCATCTGGCCGTAAAACATTTTGTTTCGTAACCGCGAGTTGAAGCGCTCCGGGTGGGCCTCTGCGGCAAAGAGAAACAACGAGAACGACTCGAGTCAAGGTTTTTTTTTTTTTTTTTCCTTCAAAATTTGGATTAAATATATATCGGTGGTGCTCCAAAGTGCAAGGACCTCGTGTATAGCTTTGCCGAGCAGAAACGTCCGTGACACTTAATAAACAAGCAAAGCCCCAAAGAACGTGGGAGATGAGGAGGGGATAAAAATACATTGAATTTCATTGAAAGGTGCTGTCAATTTAGATGCAAATTCCGTCTCGATATTCCAATTTGTTTTTCGGGGGGGCTGGTGTCTATATATGCATGTTCGCTCCAGTAAATAGCTCTTGCCCCTATGCGTGACGCAAACGTGAGGGGTGCATGCATACATATATACATACATACGTAAATATGCAACGCGACGCCCTATGAATAAAAAATTTTCATCCAAATCTTTCTTTTTTTTTTCCCGCCAACCCACGCCCTCTCGATCTGAATAACCGCGATTTATTTTTCTTTTTTTTTCCTCTCCGGGACTCCGGTGTATTTTTAATTACTTTTGCAACACGCGGCGTTCGTTCCCTTCCCCTCGGTTGATTCTTTTCAACGATTTTAGCTTAACGACTGTAAGCACAGCTTGAATTTTGCATGAAGCTGTATTTTTCGCAGAAATATTTAACACGAATTGGCCAACGGCTAAACAAAGGGCTGGAGAAAATTGAGCTGGTTAATTTTTTTCTTTTTCTTTTCCTACTTTTGACCCGTTTTAAATTAACTCCTTGAAGTATATAATATATACCTCCTTGAACATTGTTTCAGAGATTAAAGTAGGTCCGAGTTTTCATGAATTTTCAGTCAAACAATGAAAAGGCCGCTAGTGCTTGCGGGAGTTTTGAAATAATGTCAAATACGAAATTCACTGCAGGAGACCACTAACTTTCTTTTTTTTCCCCCTCGCGCGAGTATTTATTTTTCAAACTACGCGACCGCGATTTTTGTTCACTTCACTTCTTGGCGTTTACCTTAAAAATAGACGCGTGTACTTAATTACACGAGCTTCGAAAATAACCGGCGTTCGGTCTCTTTCTTTTTTTTTTCTTCCTCCGACAAATCGAGCTGCTACGAAAAAAAAGTAACTCTCGTAAATTTTAAACGCCTTTTAAGGATCAAAGTGGATCTTATCGACCAAAAAGTTGGGCAAAGCTCGCCTTAAAAATTCCCTTTTGTTTCTCTCGTCCCTCTACCCAAAGTAACGCGCCGAGTCGTAAGACGAAACGTCCAAGTTTGCAAACAGAAAAAAAAACAAAAAGAAACTACTTTCCCAAAGTAACACCAACAGATGACCGACGAGGAGAAACAGCAAGAGCCAAAGGGAATACGCAAGGAGCGTCATTTGTATTCAACTCCGAGCTCCCCGTACCCATCTGCAGCTTTTCAGATCCATTAAATGCAACGGCGCCACGTGGCGAGCCGCTACATTGCAAGATGTTGTACGATATACGTATACTCTAGTGCGCTCTTTGTGCATCTAAAAATAACACTCCCTTCCTCCCACGCTGGTATTATTGTACTTTTGCGTCTATCGGGAGGAGGCATACAATTTAACGATCCTTTAAAATCGTTTTATGCTGAAATTTCTGAAACTCTCTTCGTTCGGCAAAACGCGGGAGGCGTATATATATCTTTTTATGTTATCCTTAACCCGTGTATAAACTTTCGTCTCGTTTATCAGTTGCTCTAAAAAGAAACATCGTTATTTCACCACAAGAAGATAAAAAACAAATCTGTATGCATACGTATATACGTGAGATCTATTTGTGCCAAAAGAGAGCACGGGTAGTGGTTTGCTTCCTTATACCGACGCGTTTGTCGAGAAGTAAGTTATGATACAAAAAGGTACTCGCTAGATTTTATAGCAAATGGTACCGTGTTAAAGTTTCAACACCCTTATATTATATTATAAAAAAAAATTTTTTTTTACACCAAAAATAAATGAACCATGTTTATGCTTCGTTGAAAGTAGACGGTGTTACTAACTGTGGATCAGTGGTGCCAATAAAAACTAATCAAGGGCAAAGGAATCATTAAATCGACACTTAATGCGATTGTGGTTCACAATGACGTCAACCTTCTTCAATCCCTCACTCCCTGAAGTAGGTATATACATATATAGGTGATTATACTTAAGAACAATAAATGAACAAACAATGAGCCCTTCCCGAGCAAATGACCCTTTATTTATGCAATGAGCCGATATGTCGCTGCTCGTGACATACTCAAAAGCCTCGAAGGATTATGCACTCAAAAAGGACTTGTATGTTCATTCCTTGTATAATTGATTTTCTCAATTCAATTTGGAATTCGAGATAACGAATGCCTACGAGTTGACAGAAGTAATAAAACAAAGTATTACTTCTGTTCAAGAGAAAAAACGAAAATTCCACGGGAAGTGTACTGGCCTTAACCCTTAACACAGGGTGTTGTATCACGCCAGTGTTTCTTCAAGTTGATGTAGCAGCACTCGCGTATAGCTGACCGACAGTATACCAAGAGATGTTACTCTTAAAGAAATACGTATTTATTTTGAAGGCAATTTAAGGATTGTTTACTCTTTTCTTTCGTATCCGACGAAAATGTACTTATTTTTCTAGCGTGAGGACCTGATTTCCAATCCTAAACTAAATTTATCCGAAAAAATGAAGTTTTGCTTGAAAGGTAAAAAACAATTACTCATAACGTAATGCTGCTGCTTCATTTAGATCAGATCAAACTGCAATTCAATATGTTAAAAATCTTTTTGCTTTCGGGGCACAAAAATGGTTATTCTTTTGATTCAAAAGCACGAGAAAATTGTATTTGTTCACTATACCTATATATCATCCGGAATCCGTAACGCAGTCACGCGTAACAATGTATTTTCCTTTTACTTTATGGTAACGATAAACCTTTACCAACTTCAAACATGAGATAACGTATACCTACTAGACATCGATACATAATAGGTATACACGTAATATACGTAATGCTAAAAAAAAAGAAAAAGAAAAAAAAAAACGCTACCAGGTAAACGGATGCTCGTTAAAACGACGAGAGCCAACTACGGATGTTGCAGCGGATGGGGGAAAAACCTCGGGGAAAACCAGGGCAAACGCGTAAAATAATGAACGCGTCCGTCCAGCCATCAATCAATCGTACACTATCGAGTTACGCGTGGTAAAAAAAAAAGCAATACACACGCACAAAACATATTAAAAGAAACAATATACATAGGTACCACATGTACAACGTATATAGGTGTATATGTATGTATATAAGAGTATACCTCTGGCCTCGTGAAACTCGAGAGCGATGTGGGCGTCGACGCCGAGCGAAAAGTAATTGTTGACGACGTTGAGGGGCAGGTTTTCCTTGCCCTTGGCCGCGTCCTCGTCGTTGCCCTGGGCGTCGTTGTTGCGCTCGACCTCGAGTTTCCACCTGTCGAGTATCGAGATCTCGCTCTCGGCCATACCGTCGAGGATCTTGTTGATGGGCTCGTCCGTGTAGCCACCACCCCAGCCCAGGGCCCTGGCCAGGTCGTTGCCCGTGCCGAGGGGCAGAGTGCCAACCGCGGGCGGCGGGTTCGCCCCGATCTTGTCCAGGACCGAGAGCACCCAACCGACCGTGCCGTCACCCCCGCACGCCAGGATACGCAAGTTCGGCACCTTCTTGAACAACTCCAGCCTGAGGAACCCACCACGCACATTTCAATGCCAATCGATACGAGCTACTTCTTTTTTTTTTTTCATCATTATTGTTTTCGTCGCTGAGAGTGTGTACTCTACGATACGACGGCGTGTAATTACTCGCGCGTAAAACGTCTGGATCATGTGTTGCCTTAAAGCGCACACACACGTACACGTACTCTTTGTTCTTTTAATGAGTATATTTTATGATCGCGGGCCGAGATATAGCCTTCTATCGCCACGGATGCATCTACCGCCGCGACTCTGTGCTGTAGAAGAGACCTGCACGACGTTACATAATTATGTACTCGTATGCAAGATTAAGAGAGACTATGCGTCGAAGACTCGTTTTTAGGTGTATTTCACGTTTTCAATTTCACCGTAAGGATGAAAATTTGAAATCCCTACAGCACGTATGAACCATCGGCGCGTACGTATACTTTGGTCGTAAGTACACCCGCGGGAGATGTGCGTGGGTTTCAATTTAAAAGCGAAAGAGATTGCGCAATCCGCGCTTCCGTTTGTGCGAACCGGGGACGAAATAAATCGGGCAAGTTACATGGTTCGTGCATTCTTCGAAAATTGATTAAAGGTTTTATTTCATTTTCACGATCACCCGAGTGCAGCGTTACTGGGTGGTTGAAAAGTATCTCCGTACGTTACAGGGACGTTAAAAAGTTACGGGTGGGAAAAAAAAGCTCGGCGCAGAGGGAAATCGATTGACACGGAAATAAATAGCAGCAACGAAAAGTTTTTCTTTTTTTTTCTTTTTCCGAAGGCGGCGTAATGGTTGCTACAATTACCTCTTAAATTTTTGTTAGTCATCAGAGTTGAAAAAAGAAAAAAAAAAAAAAAAAAAAACGAAGTGAAATAATAAATCGACGTAATAATTTCAAGTCGGCGTCGTATTGCTAATTAAAAATTCCAACGCGAGAGGACAGGGGGACGAGTGTATACTTATTTACGCTCATCATCAGAAGTGTCGTCTGAAATTTCAACGCCCCAACACAAACACATTCACCACCTAATATATACGTCTTGTCTGCATGACGCTCGGCACGTATCTACTTACACACGCGCGTACAACACGTAGTGGTCCCCCTTTTGTCACGCGAACTTTGATCAACTTACTTAGCCCCCCCCCCCACTCCCCGGCTTCTATACCTCTTTGTCGGTTCTAACACGTTTTCAGACGTCGTCAAACTTAATTACCCCTGGAACTTTCTCGCGCTCGAAATATCATTAAAATGACAATTACACAAAGTCAATTTGACGTAAAAATTTGTATGAAAAAAAAAAAAAAAAAATACACGCCCAAACGTACAATACACACGGTTGAGGAGACTTGGGGGCGAAACGCGAGAGCAGTTGACAATTTCATTAATGTTTCGCCGAGGAGAGAGAGCGTCGTTTCATCAAGTTAGATCACCAATGGCAGTGGTAGTTGTCACTTTCCTCCCAGAGGTCAAACTCGAGGGAATACCATGAATACATACGCCAGTGAGGATTCACTTTGCGAGCTGATTTAATTGAATGGTTTTACCATGTAAGGGGCAGGGGGGGGAGATTTTTACCCCACGAGATTGGGGGGTTGCAAAATAATTATGATGATCGTGCATTATAATTTAGATTAGAGCTCGGCGATTTGCATGCGTCGTAAGTGAGCACTTTATCCAAGCTGAGCCGAATAATCCTTGATGGATTTTAATTAAGCAGGACCGAATGAGCGAGCGAGGAGGGTGGTTATTTTTGCCGCTTCTGCAATTAGCCCCTGATATCCATATTTCGAGGTGTACAATTGTCGCTCTCTGATCCGTAACTTTGTTGATTCGTGCATTTTCGCGAATAGAGAGGCACTAAGCGATCAAAGCAAGGAAAAACCGGTTCATTTAATATTTCAGTCGATGGGGCGAAAATAGACGACAGCTGACCGGCCCCTCCGAGTTATGCTCGTTTATTCAGGAGGACCGGGAGCTAATACATTTCCCGCTGCTGTGTCTTGTTTTTTTATTTCATTTTTCTCTCCCTCTTTCGTCTTTGGGCCGAAATCAATCGAGCTCATGCGCCCACGGGAAAATAAAAGCGAAAATGATGTTCTACAAATCGATCGGGCATTCATTGCATGTATACATAACGAAGCGTTGGAGATGGTGAAAAACAAAAAAACAAAACAAAAAAAACATTGACACAAGAGTTCGAGTGCTGCACCGGCAGCTACGTATACGGAACGTAAATATACACCCGCGCTCGAGTTCTCCTTAACGATCTCGTAATTTTTGAAACGCCTTTTTGTTTACTTTCGGCACATCCCTCGTGATCTCGGATGGAATTTAATCAACGAGACAATTTTTTTTTTTTTTGTTTCGAGCTCCCCTCCGTGAAAACGCGTCATCGCGCGGCTGAAGTTATTTTAATTAAACGAGTAAACTTCCCGACTCCTTTTCGTACATCCCTACATAAGCCGGTACGGAGGGCACGTGTCGCGTGGGTGGGTAAACAAAAAAAGCCTCGCGCGATGGTTATTAGAATTCGTGTACGATTAACATAAAAAATTTGGCGTGCAAAAAAATACCGCGTGTGTATCGATCACATTTTATTTTTAAAAACGAAATCGATAAAACCCCACCGCCACGCAACACGTGTACATACAAGGGGCTCATTGTTTATTCATGAGAGCTGCTTCTCGTAAAACTAACAATGAAAATTCTGGGTAAAACGTTCGATTCCAGGGGGTGGGGAAGGGAGGGGAGGGGGAGAAAAAAAATCAATTTTCACATCCGCGCGGAGAGAGCCGAGAGCGTCACGCAATGACGCGTGAATATTCATGACCTACCCCATGTTGGGTCCACCCTGAGTGAGATCGAAGACCTGGCGAGGATTGAGCAGCCACTGGAACTTTGAGAGAAGCTTGGCGCCCTGATTGCCACCGGATCTCGGATTGATGAAGACGAGGACGGGCGTGACGCTGGTGTTGGGTATGGGCTTGATGGCCCACAGCTTGAGGGGGTCCTCCTTCTCGCCGGCGGCGTCCTGCTGCTTGCGGGCCTGGGAGCGCCTCTTGCGGGGCGACTTGCGCAGGCTACTCTTGAGCTTGCCCTGCCGCGGGAGCTTGACGATCCACGAGGGCGGCACGATGATGGACTCGTGGGTCCCGAGCTCGCACTGCTCCCCAATGCGCTCGGGGTTGAAGCACGACTCGCGGTTGTGGTACGCGTGCTTGCACCAACTGCAGCTCACCGCTATGATCTCTTTCGAGGAGAAGCTCAGCTTCGACTGGAAGGCCTTGTTGCAGTTGGTGCACTTGCCCTTTTGGCTGCGCCGGTGCACCCAATGGTGGTTAATGACCTTTTGCTCCCGGTACTGGCGCACACCGATGTCGCGGTAACTCGGCTTGCATTGGAACCCGAGGCTCGCCGTGCACGCCGAGTGGGCGACCACCCGGCAGGCCGAGCACTTTAGTCGGGCACCGTGTTTCTAAGGACAAAAAACCCACAGGTTTATACACTCGTTTGGGGTCGTACATTTTGGGGGTGGGAAAAGGGAGTTGTAAAACTTGTACATATATACACTGAAGCGCGTGGGATTTCTCACGTGGGTTGACCTCGCTCGGTCCCTCTCTTTGTTCGCGCCGTAATCCCACCCCGAGTCATTTGATGGATGGATTTACATTCCTTTTTTTGTTATTCCCTCCGAGAAAGGCGCACGGGGTATGAAAAAAAAAAAAAAAAAAAAGGGGGGGGGGGAAAGAAGAGCAGCGATGATAAATTCAACTTGCGAGGCGGGGAAAAGTCGGGCCGCTTTGACGGGGGGGAAAGACAAATTTGTAATGGAAAGATTTGCTGAACGACGCGGAGGGATCGAAATTCAAAGTAGTTTCGAAACTGCATATTGACGCCGGGGGATCCATTATAAGGGGTTGGCTTTTCGCGGAACTTGTACATATTATATAGAATAAAATGAGTCTTTGTGTAAGACGGGAAAGAAAGTTTGGGCACACGGATCGAAGCAGGAGGGTGTGGGGGGAGGGGGATGAAAGTTTTCAACAACTTACCGAACAGTCGTTTACGTAGCAAAATTCGCCAGAAGCGGAAGTGGGGACCCAGAGATGTTCCCCATTGACGGCCGAGTCGCTCCAGTCGGGTGTTGATCTGGGCTCCCTCTGCCCGGGACTCGAGACTTCGTCCTTTTGGCTGTAAAAGCAACGTTTTTTTATAACTCACTCCCTAGTTTTAATTTCAAAATAAAAAAAATTAAAAAATGGCCATGCAACACTTTGTTTCCTGTTGTTTTTTTTTTTTGCTTTTTATTTTTACATCTCAATTACGCCTAACATACACGTGCGTATACATACACCAATACAGCGAGTACAGTACACTTAAGACGTAAAACGCTCTCCGAACGTATCGGACACCACAAAGGGCTAATTACAGTTTATGAAGTGCGTGCGCTTGACCATCATGTCATCGGGTCATTGTTGTTCTAAACCAAGTGTGCGTATGTTTACGATGTAAATATACCAATCGCGTGTGTGTAGGTAGGCATGTACACGCAATCTCGAAAACCCTTTTGTGTAAGTGTGTAGATACACGTGGGTGCTTGGACATAATTAACAGACAAAATCAGTAAGTTCGATCGGGCCATTCGAAGACATGTATGTATGAACACACGCAACGCGGCCAGGGGCACTTGTGCCATTGTTTTCATTTCGTGTAAGCATTGTGCGTGTACAATGGGGAAATTGAAATAAAATCCCAAACGTTGTGAATTTGCGGTACACGGAAAGACCTTTTTCATTGAAAATCCCCTACTACATTCAGTTACGAGTTTTTAATAGCTTGGTACGGTTTTTTCCCGTACCACGTCTGTCTAAAACCTACGCTCAAGTATGTTATGTAAAACGTAAGCACCTACTGGATACATCTATTTTTCATAGCTACAGTTGGTAAGGGAAAAAACCGTACCACCGTCATTAAATACTTGTACTGATATCTTAAAACCTATATACTTGGCACGAAATTTAAGACCACTTAAGGTGACACTAAAAATTCTTGTGTTAGTAAGCAACAAATATAAGGTTGGTGTAGTATTTCTTACGATCAAATATTGTAGTAGGGGATTTTCAATGATCTCGGTCTTTCCGTGTACATAAAAACCATGCAGAATAACGGCTCGTATTCGTCTTGACAACGAGCCACAAGAACAACGTGCATCACGGGTGGAAAAACAATAAACCCGTCTCGGCGAGATGGGGGGAAAAAAAAACGGTAAAAACTCGTGCAGCAAACGAATAAACAGGCAAAGAACCCAAAAGGTCACGCGAGCAAAGCGACAACGTACCCGGGAAAGGCAGCCTCGTTGCCGGGCAGCAGAGCCGTGTAGCGCGTCTGAGCCTCGGTGGGCAGGACGATGTCGACGCTCTTAGAGCGGGCGCTCTGCTGGGGCACCTGGAGCGAGTACCCGGACTCGATGCCGCCGTTCTTGTTGTTGTTGAAGCACGAGTCCACCGAGGCGGCTCTGTCGCGCTTCAAGTCCGGCACCGTCAGAAATATGTCGCGCACGACCAACTGGCCCGGCTTGTTCACCGGCTCGCCCCCCGCCCCGTCGCTGTCCTCCTCCACCTCCTCCTCCGCCTCCTCGCCGCCCCGACTCTCTTTTTCCCCGTCCTCGTTGTCCGGCTGCTGGTGTTCCTCCTCGTCGAGGCTACTCTGGACGGCCAGCGTAGCCTCGAGACTCAAGGTAGGCAGTTCCGAGGGGAAGACGGTGAGGGCCTCCTGCCGCGAGAGCGAGCGCCTGCGCTGCCTGCCCCCCGCGACCAAAAACGCAGCGTCCCCCGCCACGGGAGGTCGCGGCTCGCCCGAGGACGAGGCCGAACTGTAGTCGCGGTCCTCGGCGCTCGTCGTGTTAGTTGTCGTGGTGGTGGTCGCCCCGACGTCGCAGGGACTCGGGGTCAGGGTGACGCGGATCTCGGGGCTGCCCTCGCGGCGGGAGCAGTCGCTGCACTCGTCCTCCGCGTCCTCGGAGGCCTTTTGCAGCACGACAAAGTACAAGCTGTTGTCCTCGACGTCGCGCTCCAGTTTCGGGCCAGCCCCGGGCTGCACCTGCTGCTGTTGGGGCGTCGGTGGCGGCAGCAGCAGCAGCAACTGGCTCTGAAGATCGTCCCCTCCTCTGGTGTTGCCCTCGTAGTAGTCGGCCTCGTCTGCCTCGTCGTCGCCGTCGTCGCCCTCGGCCTCCTCGTCGTCCTCGTCCTCCCAGCTGTCGCTCGCCTGGGCCTGCCGGGCCCGCCACTCGTCGACGCACGCGCAGTGCCAGCAGCTGTACGCCTGGGCCGGGGGGTTTTCGCGCTCGGCGCTGCTACGCCAGCCCCGCGACATGACGTAGCCACCGTAGCCCCCGACCGTTGACGAGGACCTGTCGAGGAGGCCCGTTGCCGACGAGGGCCGCTCGGCCACGTCGAAGCTCCGCGAGCGCTGGCCCACCACCGCCAATTGGGGCACTCGCAGGTTCGCCCCGGTGGTGGACTTGCGCTGTTGGTAATGCTGTTGGTGGGTGGGCGAGGTGGGCAGGGGACTGCTGCTCGTCGCCATAGCGAGGTTCGCGATGGACCGCAACTCCGCTGCCCCGGCTTGCTGCTGCTGGCTCGACGACGGGGGCGAGGATAGTAACTCGTGGCGTTGGGGATCGGCGAGTTGGATCTCGTCGAAGGAGGCGGAGCGCACCTGTTTGGGCACCTCGAGGCTCGATTGGGCCTTCATTTCGGCACCGGTCGGGGTCCGCGACCTCTTGAACGTCGAGCGCAGCCGCTGCATAATATCTCCCCTACCTGCTGCCGCTAGTTGTTGCCGGGGTGATTGTGGCGTGACCGGGGACCACCGGGGCACGGCTGCCTAGCTGCCTGCTAGGAGCCGCTGCCACGGCTGACCCCATCCTTGCGAGTTCTGGTTTATCCCCTCCTTTTTTTTTTAACTTTTTTATTTCGGTCTGGTGGTTCTGTATATGCGGAGGCTGCTCCGCGACAGTATCGTAGACGGTCTATTGGCGGACTGGAGCCGAAAAGACGAAGACGGCCGTCGGTCTTCGCCTCCTCCAGCGCCTCCTCCTCGGGTGCAGGCTGTACGTTTGTCCGGTTTGGCTCATGTCCCTCGAGTGCTATGTACACCTGTAATAATTGGCGCCACTGTTGCGTGCCCTGCACTCCCCCACGAGTACACGCACGTGTCTGCAGGCGTGCGCTGACGACTTGCAGCGACTCCTTTGGTATATGTATAATGTGTACACTTGTGACGTGCCTCTAATACATGTATGTTATGCACGTGCACACAGCCACAGGGTGTATTATAGATGCTCGGGGTACTTTTCCCTCTCGCAAGCTGTCACGGCAGAGCGACACGGGTATCGAAGCACCGACGGTAAAATCGATCCAAGAGAGAGAGAGAGAGTGAGTGAGAGCGGAGGCACGCGAGTATTGGATATAACAGCCCGAGAGTAGGAGGAGGAGGAGGAGGGTAGAAAAATTGGCAAAGAGCACAAAGAAGACAGGTATAACGAATCGAGACGGTGAGGAAGGGTCTTTGGAGACGAGGAGGAAGAGCTGGTAGATGGATGGGCTTAATTTTTCATCCCTCTAAGGCTCCAAGCTCGTGTCTACGCGGCATAACTTATATCCACTCGGTAATGTACGCGTGTACATTAATATATGTGTACGGTGTATTAGCTGCGTGTGCCCGTCGTCTGTCGTTGGTGATATTTTTCGTTACCCTCCGCCGCTCTCACTCTCGATGGCAGACACGCACGTTTTCGATCATCCCCCGATGTACACGGCTCATCCCTCGACAAAGCTCGATCATCCTCCTCCTCCTCCTCCTCCTCCTCCTCCTCCTCCTCTTCCTCGTCGTCTTTTTTCACTTCCGGGCGAGCACCGATTCTTTTTCCGCAGTGACAATGAGCCGCGCTCGCTCGTCGGCCGATGACGATAGCCCAGTGAAACGAGGCTTGCAGCGCCGCGCTCATGGGAGCTGGCCCTCGGCAAAGACCACCAACAGGAGCACCACCATACCCATCGTAGGTGTATTATGTGGGTATACCCGCACCCTGCGCTCTCACTGCCAGCTGGACTCGTGTGGACGAGTGGGTCGCCGCGCGTGTACCTTTCAACCCTTATGGTTACCACACGTGTGTGTGGATATTACCGGTGTCTCATCACCTTCTTTCCTCACGTTTGCCCGGAGCTTGCACGTATATTTATTTTTATGTTGTACATTCACGTAGTCGGCGAGCTCATGACCCTTACGGACTCTCCCCCTCTATGCTGGATGTGCTACAGTTACACACGTAATCTCTCCACTCCCGACCCCGTCACTTTGTTGCGTATGTGTGTACATGTATGTAACGTGTCGAGTCTACAGCTGTCACCGCAGCTTTTTTTTTCATTATGTACACGGGTAAGTCGGTAGTCTCGCTTCGGGGGGATAGGGGCGAGAAGGGCATACACTACCAAGTATAAGGGGGCGACGCGAGCTTTTTTTTTTTTTTTTTTTTTTTTTGAAAAAAAAATTCCTTTTTTTTCTGTTATTTCCCTACACCTGTACACTTATAAAACACACGCCAGGTTATCTCCGGCCACCTAGCAGTGCTACCGACGCCGCGCTCGCCTCGCTACTGGCGTGGAGCTTTCGCCTCCTCTCCATCATTGCGTGTACGTATATGTACGTACGTATACACACACGTCGCTCCCTCCTCTCTTCCTTGGGGAAAAATAGGTAGCTCCGTTCATTCGGTCAGACATGCGCGCTGCTCGGTAAATCCGGCCTGGAAAATCGCGCGCAAGCTCCCGCCTATACAGGGCATATACCACGTTTAGCTCCACCGTATATATATATAGCTTGGCCCCCTCGCGATGGGCTTTTCGTTCACAACACCCCCGACACTATACTCAATATTATAAGAGCGGTTGTACCGCAACAACTATATGGCATATATACACGCGTGTAATTTCTTCCTGCTCCTGACGTCTCGCGAGCCACTCGACGGCTACCCATCCGTCCACGCACGCGATCTCTCCCCGTGCACGCGCTAAGCTCGTATACGTATAATATGTAGGTATACATGTGTGTCTTGACGAAGAGAAAGAGGAACGAGCTCAACCCAATATTTCATTGCCCGAGCCCGTATAGTGTATGATGTGTGTTGTACAGGGCCCTCCCCCCCCCTGTCCTCTTATCCGTGTAGCTTTCGGCTATATTGCGCGCGCACTTGCGTGAAACGATATGCTCCACTACCGCTGGCTGACCCCACCAGCTGTTATTGTTCTTTTTTGGGTGTGTGTACACGTGTATGTATGCGTCGGTATTTATGTACATAATATACACGTGAAAGCTCCCAAACGCACCGTACACACGAGCATATATATACAATACATAGACGGAGCTGGAAAGATATTAGCGGTGTATATATGGCTCTTCCCACCCCCCCTGGTTTTCTAGAGTTCACAAAGCGACGCGCAAGCGCGAGCTTTTCCGAGGCTGTCCGCGCGCAAGTTCGACTCGGATAGAGGGGGGTACCATAGACGCTGTTTCACCGCACCGGCAATTGGGTAGTATATTGGTGTAATATACTAAAGTTTATAATATACTGTAATATACTGTTTCGCCCCTTGGATTATACATATATATATTTAACCCAATGCATGTACACATTGGAATATAGAAGGGGGCAAGGAAAACACACGAATCGTCGTTCGCGGGGTGATTCTGTTGGTCCCCCCCCCCCCTACCCCATCTCGGGTGCGAAAACTGAATGTTCCGAGATCTTTTCGTTTTTCTCCGCTCCACTTGTTTCCCCATCAAATATGATTCTTTCATGATTCTCGGCGCGTTCGCGGGAGGGAGTGGGGTAAGAAGGGGTTCAATTCAACGGAGCTAATCTTGTTTACGTATTTTCCAATTAAGCGTGCCCTAGCAACTCATCAAAGTCAAACGGGGAGGGATGAGAGAGAGAGAGGGAAAAAACAAAGTAAATGAAAATTCCATTTTGTATAAGGTGGCGGTGTGATTATCTATCTCTCAGTGGTATAAGGTTCGCAAAGGCGATACGTGACTGGGATGCATCCAGGTTGTACATGATGGTGATGATATTGCTACGGAATAATCGAGCAGCTGCAGTAGGAAGAGAGATATATGTATATTGGTACAAAATGTGCGTTGATGGAATGTCAGAGGCCAACCTGTCCTCGGTATCGTCGAGCTCCGGGTCTTCGCGACAGCGTAAATTTGTGCCCGGCACGAACTGCACCTTGCAACCTAGTCCCGGTGACATGGCCTCGAGCAACCTATAATACACACGAGACACACACCGACTTTTCTTTTATTCATGCAACATTTTTGTTTTTCCTCGTTTCAAAAACGATCTTCCCCCTTTTTCTCATCATTAGGTATTGTTTTTTTTTTTTTTTTTTTTCTTTCAACAAAATAGTGTTCTGTTTGTCGATTCTCGCGTGTATCCGCGAAAATACTGTGCTGTGTGTGTTTTCGGCGTATCGATGCAATATCACACGCGGTTTGTATCTCCGATTCGTCGCTATACGCGGTAAAAAAAAAAAAACCCCTTTCCGTGTGCGGTTTCGCCCCTCCCGAGCTTTGGGCACGAAAAAAGACTGTGTGCGTGTATACAAGTATATCCAAGGTCGAAAAGAGCACGAGCCGGAAAAAAAGAAAGCAAACACTGCGGGAGCTGCGTGCATGCTTGGATTTCGATCTACGCACTGCTTGTAACGATCGCGGCTGGGAGAGCAAGGGGTGTGCGACAGTTCATGCCAATCTTGCCCCGCTGATAGCGACCGTATATATATAGGGAGGTGTCAACGGTTCATTGTAATAATACCGCTGCTTTTTTTGCTATGCTCGTCTTTATAACGATGTCAACAGAGAGCCTCGAACTGCCGATACGGTGTATTATTATACCGGGTTCCGATGTCACAGCTTAAGTACGTAAATATACACGCACTGAATGCATTGATGGTTCGGTTCGAGATATGTTGAGAGCCAAGGAATGAGGGAATGTTTGTCGGAGATATTGTTTGGCTTCGACTTGGCAAACGAGCGGTGGAGGCGTGTATACACAGGGCACGCCAAAGAGTTACGTCTGAGCGAACTCGACCTTTTACTACTGAAATGTGCACTGCATGTACGTGAGTACGTGTGTAAAAAGCAGCGCGTGCTCGCTTTACTTCCACCGTACTTTGCGAGCTTTGAAAGCATTTTTTAGCTTCTCTATGCGAGCTGAGTTCTCTTTTTCTTTTCCTTTTTTTTTTTCTTTTTTTTTATTTTGGTTAACTCGTCGTTTCTGCGAATTTCCCCGTTTTGCGTGAGTGTACGAGAGTGGCTGACAGCCAATTTTTTTTCAATTACCTGTGTATACGCTTGTTTCGCAAAAATACCCGCTGTATAGAACGCGGAAAGAGTTACGAGTTCGGGAAACAAAAGCCGTAAGGAGTCCGTGAGAATTTTTTTTTTTTTTGACTCTCGGTTTAACATTCACTGACTGAAATAGTTAAAATTAATGAGTTCGTATAAAAACCTACGGGTTCCCAGCACGTCTGACAACAAAAAAAAAAAAAAAAAAAAAAAANAAAATAAAAGAGGTGAACAAAAATTTTAAAAAAAGGGGGGGGGGAAGAGAAAAAACATCGATCGCCCGGAAAACTCGTACACCTGGGCGGGTTTAATAAGCAAAAATGCATAGTAACCTTCACGCGAGCTCAGAGCGCTTACATAAAAAATCATCGTCAAGGCTTCGAGCTGTACGGCAACAACAGTGATTCTTTTCTGTTCCGCTTCTTTCCACTGTTTTCACGCTCGAGTAATTAAAACGCTTCGCCCAGCGAGCCCAAGTGCCAGTATACACACACACACACACATACGCGCGTCCAAAATAATTCCGGCCCGGGAAGTATTTACTTACGCAAGCGGTCGAACAAAAAGAAAAGGAGAGGATAAACAAAGCGCCGGGGAAACCTTTCACCTTCCGCGCGCTCTTTTCTCTCGGGAAGCGAATTTTTAATTCACACGTCTTCCCGATCCTCGAGGCTTCTTTTTGTTTTTTTTTGTGTTTTTTTTTTTTCCTCCTCCTCCCTCCTTCCATCCGTACAAAATAAAGAAACACGTACCTACTCCGGAACGCGATAGGACAGCTTTCATTTTTCTATTTACCGGCGCGTCAATTGAGCCATCGAGGGTCGAAGTTGAAAGGAGGGAAGGAAAACAAGGACGGTGCAGGTCCGAGGGAGCCTACCGGGTATAAAAAGAGAGCGAGCGAGACGAGGAGAAGAAAGGAAAAAGAATAAAGGGACGTACAGCCGAGAGTAGCCAGTGCCTCGCTTTTATCGGGGAGAGAAGAAGCAGTTACACTTTTTCGGATCTGGCCTACTTTGCCACGTATTATATATACTCGCTGCAATGCAGGGTGGGGGCGTCATCGTATATACAATATACTGCATTAATTTATTTGCATCGCGAGCTCTGGAAAATTGATACGCGATCCATCGCTCGATGATTTCATCGGCTTCCTCCACAAATGTACCACCACCGCCACCTATATACATTTACTTGGGTAATTAAATGAGGTGTACGATTTTTCGTCCACTTCCACACGCGGTACCGTCAGCGCTAATAATATTTGCCTGGCTTTACGTACATACATTTATAGGTATGGAGCAGAGCGCGATTATTCAATTTTAATTCGAGCATTAATTGGCCGGGGCGTGTCATTTGTCTCCGCTTTGTCTCCTTGACGCTATTATTCGTAGAAGCTGAAAATTAACAAGCGACGGTGCACAA